ATCGAGTTCCAACAAAATAAATAATTATTATCTTTATAAAAAAATTATATTATTAAACCAAATATAAATTACTTCGTGATTGTACATAAATTAAATTAAAAAATTTGAATTAAAAAATTATACAAAAAAATGAGGAATTTCATATAGTTAATTTGATACTAATGTCGATATATTTTTGTCAAATTTTTATGATATCTTCAAACATATATTTTATTCAAAAATAAAAACATCATCGTTTTCTCAAAATCACATAAAGCCATATTATAACATCGACTGAGATAAATAATAAAATGAAATATTAAAATCACGATGTATCTCGCTGCATTGCGCGAGTACGCTTCTAGTGTTATCTAAAATAAAGATTTTTATAGATTTAAGAGTGAAAATCTTTAAATCTTCAGATTTCTCAAGTTCGTTTAAGGAGAAAAAAGAAGGAAAGAGAATGAAAATCATGTCGGTTTTTTACCCAAAACTTTTCTCTTAAATGTCGGAGGAAAGGAAAGAAGCCCGATTGGTTTGAACTTGGGGCTCGAAAGGTCAAAAGTGTCTAGAGATCTCAAGTTCGAATCCAATGAGAAATAAAAATTTCTTTTGTGGCCACGGATGTTCAGATGGGGTGACTCCGGGCTACCCGCGAAGCAAGTGGCCGTCCTGGGATTAGTCGACTCGCATAACGAGTTGGATATCCTGATTAATTAAAAAATGGAAAGAAAATGATTTATTACAATTATAAATATTTATAAAATTACAAATTTATCTATCCATTACGTTCCACATTAAAATAAATAAGGGTATATTTTTAAAATAATTACGTTACACATCTGAAAGGGACTCCACGCTTTAAGTCATATGAACCCATCTAGCCTCTATATACGTTAGAACGTCTCTTCTTTCCCGATTGGCTCTTTTGAAATAATCGAATGAGATTCCGCATATCCAAACATAGTATCAACTCCTCCAACTGAAAGGGACTCGACAGTTTAGGCATTTGCACGTATCTGGCCTTGGTATATGTTGGAACATTTCTCTCTCCGACAGCTCTTTTACAGTAATCTAATATGTTCCACGTGTTTAACAAAAATCAGAAAGGGACTGATACTTTATGACACCTGCACCTATCTAGCCTCAGAATATGTTGGAATATCTATTTTCTCTTCCAGGTGTTCTTTAAAGTATTTTCTCCAGACAAGTAGGATAAAACAGGACAATACATGATAGAACAGTTGTTCAGTGTTTGGTAAGACAAAATTGATAAAATGACTAATTTACCCGTAATGAGTTGTTTATATCTTTCATGTATTTTGATTGATTAATGTAATTTATTGAATTATAATAAAATAAATATTTTTATAATAAAATATATTCTTATAAAGTTTTTATCAAGACGATTAATATGATACCAAAATAAAAGATTTATGTAGTTTTCATTTTTTACTTTAAACATTTTTTATTATTAAATCAATTATATAAATTAACCAAAATGTATAAACCGTATAAAAATAATATTTTTAAGGACATTAAAGTGAAAATTTTAAAAACATAAAATACAATAAATAAAATTTAAAGAATGAATAAAATGTAAAAGGAGATGCATGTCTTAGAAAATAATTATGTTTTTTTTATGATATATCAGTAAAACGTAGGCTTGTTCCACTCCGCTCCACATAATTTTTTTTGCTAAACATGGAACAGTGATCATTGTTTACTTCTATCCAGTGTACCAAACGCTTCCTCAGAGTGCGTTTGGAGACGGGACAATACGAGACATAATGATAGTAGAATCTGTTATCCTACATTTGACGTGACATTAGTCTGGGACAAGACATCATTTGAGCGAGACAAAAAGCATTTTTTACGTTCTACCGACATTAGGGAGACGAGCATGAGGTAAATCACTAAACTACTCAAGCCAAATTAAAACCCTAAAACCTTCTACAATCTTTCAAACGTATGCCTAAATCTCGTCCTTCCAGTCCTATCCGTTCACCTCCCGTCCCTATACCAAACACACTCGTAACGCTCTTTTACAGTAAGCGAATGAGATTTCACATATCTAACAGGTATCCGACTCTCCATCTGATACTAGCGATTCTATACCTGTCAAACCTTAATATATATGTTGGAACATCCCTTCTATTCAATAACAAGATGGTCGGAACAAAAAACCGAGACAAAATTATTAGAAAAACATAAATTACACGTGGAATACAAGTCATTTCCAACAAAATTAATTAATTAATTATAAATAATTAACAAGAAAAATGAGAGAAGCCATTGGAGAGCTTGAGATGAACACCAGACTCTTTCTTCTTCATCGTCTTCTTGAATTGCTTTGATGCTGCCTTCAAAACCTTCTTCCATCCCTGTTCCAAATTCATCAAATCACTCCATTTTTTTCACAGAAATCTACTCATTTCAATGAACAACAAACATGGGTTATCTTTACCTTTCTTTGATTTGGGGAGGAACAACCAGAATCTGCAACAACACCAGAAGAATCCGAAGAAATCGGTCCCAATTGATCAAACCCTCTGAAGCTGTTCCTCCTTCTCTTCATCATCACCATCTTCTTCTTCCCAATTTTGGGATGAATTCTGAAGCAACTAAACACACACGAATCTGCAATCTTATCCTTGATATTTGCCGTCAGTTTCTTCATCATCACCGCCGCCGTACTGGTGTCTCCGCTGTGCCAGACCATCCCGTCGCTGCCGTGTTCATCATCGTCGTACGAAAGCTTCCTCTGCAGATCCGGCGCCGGTGATGATGGGTTGGAAGGGTGGGGGACTAACGGCGACCAAATTGAGCTCTGGGTGTAGTCGAAATCGAAGGCGGAGTTGTCGGGAAACTTGCAGAGAAGTTCGTTGGACATGGATGACAGCATGTATTCCACAACCTTCACCGACGGGATGCCGCCGTAGGTGTTCATGAGGAGGCATTCTCTGTCTTCTTGTTGGTGAATTGGTTCAGGTCCGTTGAAATCCATGGATGGTTGGTGGATTTTGGTGGGTGTTTGCAGATGAATTTCATGGAGAAATTCGAAGATAAAAGTAGCCGGTAATGAAGAAGATGACAAAAACTAGCCGTTGGAGAGACAATCTGGGAGACTCCATTAATGAAGTTAAAATAAGGAAGCATGGGCTTCTAGCTAAGCCCATGATGTTTTAGATTGGGCTCGTGTTTGTTTTTTTGGGCCGATTTAAAATTTAAAGTATATATAAATGGTTATTAGAGATGGTTAAAAATGGGTGTTGGGTCGTAGGGGTGTTCAAAATACCGGTCAACTCAACCCGAAAAAACCCAAACTTAGGTAATTCGACACATAGTTGATATAAAGTTAGGTCAAAACGCATCCATTGGATTGCAATTGGGTTTGGATCGTTTGAACTCAACCAAACTCGATGAACCGGATGTCTTTCTATATTGTGAATTTAATATGATTATTTAGTCAAGGATTAATAAATTTAAGTAGAAGTTAGATTAATCCGTGATTAAATATATTCAAAATTATATTACAAATCGTAATTTTACTTTTTTATTTGCATGAACCTTCAACTTTCTTTTTTAAGTTTGCTACTCTCTTTTGTATGTTATCGATTTGGTTTTAGTTCTTTTAAGCACAAACGTGTGGCTAGATTGTAAAATAATGTATTGAAATTGTCAACTCGACCAACCCAATCCAACCCGCACGGTGTGGGTTAGGTTGAGATTTTTCAAACTGCAAACATTGGGTTGAGTTGTACAAATGTCTTCAACTCGGCCATCGCAACCCATTACCCATGTGCAACCCTACTGGGTTGGGGTGGGCCACTCCCTAATTGGTCCATTCAAAATCGGGTAGGCCGATCTTGGTCCCGACCCTGACCAAAAATCCTAGAACCAATCTAGGTCCAGTTACTCGCCTGGCCCAATTTTAAAAAAAGAAATATATATGTTCTAAATCTTTTCCACACAAAAATGATATACATTTTTTTATAATTATAATTCTTCAATTTTAGTATTGAAATACATTTTAAATAATAATTTTAAGTAGATAACATCTTAAAAAATGAAAAAAAAAACACGAAAATCTTATAACAACATTGAAAACTTATAATATAATTTATATAATTTGGAAAATCTGGCCTGTATATAATTGGTCCCGGACGAAGCCGCACCTTAAAAAATGTGTAACCAGTCCTAGACTGTCAGGCTGCAACTGGTCCCTACCAGAGCAGGGACCTTTACCAGGCCAGGTCAGGCCAAATTTGGTCATACTAAAAATTAAGTTTAATTGGCCGTTGTTGACTAGTGATACAAAATGAGACGAAGGACCGGAGTAGCTTGACTAAGATTAGTTACACAAAGAATTGTAATAGAGCATGCACGCTTAATAACCCTATCAATCTTATATTTGCATCGATTATTGTCGTGCCTGATCCAAATCCGTTTAATGGGTCAGGAAAAAAAGTTGATAAAATGTCTACTACTTATGTTTATAGTTTTAACTTTTTAATCGTAATGTTTTTATCTTTAACTTTTTACTCGTGGAAAGACATTTTGTCTCTCATTACTACTAATTTGAGGGGTATTATAAAAAATCTAAAATTTTATTGGGTTTGACGTATTTTTTGAATCATAAAAGGATATCTGCAAAAGGGTGTGTGTGTATATATATATATATGTGTGTATGTATATATATATATATATATGATTGGATTCACGTGTGACTAACTTGTTTTTATAAGACCTATGAGACCACGTTATATTTGTTATAATAGAAAACATTAAAGCATATTATAATAAGAAATTTCTCTCCCTCTCTCTCTCTCTCTCTTGTTATTTTGATATTAAAAAATAATAATACCAACATGAAAGACTATAATAAAGATTCTAAATGGCGTAAGGAGTGACTTATAGCGACAAATTATGTATATCACACATACACACACACACACACACACACATATATATAGTCTTTCATGTTGGGATCACGTGAGACTGATATGTTTTCGTGAGACCCGTAAGACCACTTTTTACACTTGACAACAAAACACTGTGAAGACAACCTTCAGAGTGTTTTTGCTGAGAATGTTCGACTTTTTTTTTTGCTTTCACAACGTTTTATTATAAAGTTTCAAGTGTATAATTAAAAAACAATATATCAGAAGAAACTCAACCTAGCTTCAACTACGGTCATCTACATATGTGCTTGTAGGCCACTAAGAGGTTTACCTAAGGCTATAGACATAACCTATAGTCCTAGAATTTATGTGGCAAAACTTGGGATCACCCATTTTTTTTTTAATATAAATATTTTATCTATAAAATACATATTATATATAATACAACTATTTTATATAAGATTTAAATAAGTAATGATTAAAGATGTCTGTTTCATTAAGCCAATGATTTAGATCAGAAGGAAACTTGGTAACATGGATTAGTTCCCTTTGCATAATGGCAAATGATTAATCCAACCAAGCAAAAACTAAACTAGCTTATAGGGAACAATTATGAGCTTAATTGTTACATAGGAAGACAAACATCCAGTCCACTACTTAGTTGTCTTATCACTAACTAAACTATACCTAATTATGCCACCATCTTAATCAAACTACTGATACCATATTTAACTGATAATGTCTTGAGTTCGTTTTTCAATGATCATCAGTTCGAGTCCGTTCAAAACCACAGGAGATTTCTCTATGCTAGTTGTTCACATATGGCAATTTTGACTGATTTATTCAGTTATATTTTAACTGTAAATAGTCAAATAGGTAAAATCTTAAAACTTAACTAACAAGAGATGAATCAAAACAGTTAAACCGTTCAAAATTTATCCAGATGCTTACAACTTTTTAAATCACGTTATTTTAGAAAACTAGATTATTATTTGTAATGATATTTCATATATTAAGTACCGATAAGATTTAGATAAATGGTCAACAATATGTTGGCAGATCAATTGAACCCTGTTCATTTTGACTATATAAACGTAAATCTGTGTTAACACAATACACAACTCGTTTGACACGTTTATTTTGCCAGCTCCAGCTATAATGATTAAAGTTAGAATAAAAAAATAATATAATGATGAAATATAAACGTCCATAATTAAAAAAACACAGTATTAGCATTGTGCAATCATTACAGTTTTAATTAACTAAATGACAGTGAGAGAAAAACTTTTCTCCATCTCATAATTAAGGATAGGGGTGCTCATGAGTTGGGTTTGATCGTGTTGAAGACATTTGAACAACCCAACTTACTGCTTCCGGTTTGAAAGATCTTAACCCAACCCAACCCAACCTAACCCAACCCAATCCAAACTGTACGAGTTGGTCAGGTTGATACTTTGATACATTAAAATATTATTCTAACATTGAATATGTTATTTTTCTACTCATAATTTCTTGTTCATCATCAACCATTTGATACAACTTATCCATACTTCTTACGTATATCACATTCAATTAATTTTCTTAATTTACATATATATGTTCACAGTCAATGAACATATATACAAATGAGTTATATAGAGATGTGAATAGATTGAATATATGTGTATATGAAGAGCTACATGATAGTGTAATTGTCTGATATGTATATATTAATAGAAATTCAACAATCATATTAAATTCAAGAAATAAAAGGATATCGGATTCATCAGGTTGATTTGAGTTCAAATAATAATAACCTAATATCAACAAAATACCTACAGTTTGAAAATTTTACAACTCGATTAAACATCGTGTTGCTTCAGGTTAAGTTATTTTGCATGGGTTGGGTTGGATTGATCGGTTGGTCGGGTTTTTGAGCACCCCTAATTAAGGATATAATGAGAAAGTAAACATTATTTTTATGTCTACCAAAAATATTATTATTCATTTTATTTTGTTTTTTATAATTTTTATGGAAAAAAAGGGAATGGTCCCAAATGGTATAGAGGGATAAGTAGGGACATAAAAGTCAAAATCATGTGATAAATGGTCAAATTTTATAAAATGGGTTGCCCTTAGAAAGGCCAACATCCCATTTTCTATCACAATGGAGGCTTGCATAAAGAATGATAGTCTTATGTATCCTCATAACCATCTTTTTGTTTGTTTCTATCACAACAAATGTTTTTGGCCCTAATCATTGGCATTCGGTTTCGCTGGACCCGACTCGGTAAAATTGTGACGTGGGTCGATAACGATAACAGATAAAGATTACTTTAGATTGATTCAGAGTCGTAAACTCGTGTTTCGGTCATTTATGATTGCACTGATTTGATTGGTGGAAATCACAATTCAAGATACCATTTTGTAACAATAAATAGGTAGTGGGTACCATTATCCCATTATATTTAATTCTAAATCTGAATGATTGTTCAACTGGTAATATCTTGAGTTTGTTCCATATAAGTCATCTGTTTAAGTTTCTTTAAAGCCATTAGAGGGTTTGTGTTGTTGTCAATTTCAGGTACCCGTAAGATTAATTGAGTTGTGTGCAAGTTAACTCAGATATTTATACTTACCAAAAAAGGATTACGTGAACAAATAACCGAACTGGTAAATGACAAAATAATGAATCTAATTACTTTGTAATTGTCACAAAAACCTGATTGATCGAATACGACAATCGAGCTGAGGAGTTGAATCATAATTCTAACATGAAAAGGACTGAAAGATCCCTTTGTCCAAAAACTGATATAATCTGACTTAAAATGTAATACAACTGAAAGTTTCTTTAATAACAAAATACCGAAAATACCAATTAATACGCAAAAAAAGGAAGAAACTTGTGGACCATAACCATTTTCTTGAATATCTTGAAACAGTTACTAAGAAGTAAATAGGTCATGCTGAAAATAAAATTTTCAAGAAATAAAATTTGATCTAACGATATTTGGGTTACTGGTAGAGTAAATAAGTCATCTTGACAACTCACAACCGTTAAGACACAAACTGCTACCAAATGGTCTTTGATCTAGTGGTATTTGAGTTACTAATAGAGTCAAACCTTTCAGAAGATCAACTATTCAAATCTTATACACATTTACCACATATATATAGACTTGAGATCATGTGAGACCAAGGGTTTTTCGTGAGACCTGTAAGATCAATTCTCAACCTTTGGATTAGATCTACAATTTGACAATCTGAACATTCATAAACACCACGAGACTTCTTAATAATCACAAAATTATCACTGTGCGACTTTAGACTATTGGATCATTAGCTTATAAAGTTGATCAATAAACATAAATTGGTCTTACGGGTCTCATGAAAAACACTTGATCTCACGTGAACCCAACCCTATATATATATATATATATATATATATATATATATATATATATATATATATATATATACATATATTTGTATATTTTTGGAGAATGGCATTGAGATGAGAATCCTAAATGAACCCTCAAATTAAAATCCAAAAAAAATTGAAAAACATTAAAAAAAAAAAAAACTTCATCATAATAATAAGGAATTAATATGCAAAGGAATAATGGTGCAATTGTCCCAAGCACATGATCCACCATGAAATGTAAATGAGATGGTCCCAAAAGGGTATTATAGTAATTTCACTTCAAATCGTAGTTGACTATATAAACCCATTGGATGCTTATTCCCCATGCATCCAAAATCCTCAAAACATTTCAAGAAGAATTAGGGAGAAGATGGTTTCAAAGGTGGAGCAAGCAAAGGAAAGTCAACAACAAAAAAGTCAAAATCACCACCATAACGACCACCACCACCACCATCACCGGCGGCAATTGGTGATCCAAAAAGAGACAATAATGCAGTGCAACAAAGGCAACACGACTAAGTTCAAGAGAAGCACCTCCCACCTTGAAGACGACGGTGTTTCCTCTGCCATTTTGTTGCTAGCGTGCATCGCTTGCGGTCCATGATCCATTTACGTGAAGTTCAAATCATCGATGACTTACCAGTATATGTATATGTGTTTTATAATTTTCTTAGTTCATATCAGTTACTTGCAATTTTTCACTAGAATTACTGTACTGTTTAGTGCTTATTACAATATCACATTCAAGAAAGTAATTGGATCAATAAGCATGATAAAAATTTAAGGTACATTCAGTTAAACTCGTATAAAAATGTTGTATCATTGCAGAAACTGTGTTTTTAGAGATGAATGCCATCTGAGTTTGATTTACGAGACAAACCTTGTCGGTGGGTTGTAATACGAAAGTTTCAAGAAAACCAAATAGGTAATATGTACAGTTTAAGATTAGGTAAATGGGTAGGCAGCGACGGAGACACTCTAACCAGTATAGTGATATTGACAGGGTGGTGTGGCTGGCTCAGGGGTTTTCGGTTACAAACCCTTTAGCAGAAACACGGTGATATTGTCGGTTTTGTCCACAAGTTGCAATCTGGAGTCACTATTATAAAAACACATCATATTTATTACTATTTTAAAGTATAAAATTAAGAGTAAATTACGTTTTTCATCCTTATGGTTTATTGAAATTGTTATTTTCATCCTTGTACTTTTGAAATTACAATTTTCATTCTTATGGATTAGAATTTATTATTGTTTTAGGACAAAAACAACAATTTCGAACTCATAAGAACAAAATCCGCTACTTTTAATAAACCATAGGGAGGGAAAACGTAACTTAATCTAATATGTGGGCAGTCACAAATGAGTTATACCCTCCTTTTGGCAAGATTTAGGTACCGTTTATCAAACGCTTACCCGGTAAGTGCTTGTTAAGTTATATTAACTTACCGGATGAATATGACAAAGACCAAAAATCTTACACGATAAGAACGAGACAATGAACAAGATTCTTACCCGGTAAGTGAAGATGACGATTCTTACCACGGTAAGAGTTTATCGGGTAAATTATTGCATACGGTGCCGTTTTGGTGAATTAAAATCATACCCGGTAAATAAGTAATAGTGTTGAATTTTACCGATAAGCATTTTTATTTTACTGATGGAATTTATTTAAACTATTACATCTACAAATCTGGGAACTTGTGCATTTTTTTTATTTTTATAAACCTACAAGTGATGATATTCAATGAATGTATTCCATAAGAAGACGTGGGGCACGTGGTTGAATCTAGGAAGTCACATGCCACAGAAGTCGACCAGACCACAAGACCAATTAGGGTGTGGGCTACATACATACAAATACAATGAACCGAATGGGTTTACTTGCTTAAGTCACGTGCCGTTGTTTTGGGAAGGAGTCATAGACCAACAAAACTACTACCGTTGTATATGGGGCTACATACAAGCAACCACCCAAATCCAAATGTAAGAGGATGTCATCAAATAAATCAACTTAAAACTCTTTTGTCTTGAAAGATATATATATATATATATATATATATATATATATATATATATATATATATTAGTTGTATATCCGTGCAATGTGGTGGGAGTCGTGAATTTTAATGATTTTGAAGTTTTACTGGTTTTATTAGAAAAGATTTAACTATGATATAAGTTACATTTGGTCTTTACATATTAATACAATTTGAATAAATAGAGTTATGGTTCCAATTACAGTCTATTGATGAAAAAAATTATATGACAGTTTAAAATCCAACATATTTAAACAACTTTACAAATGTGCTCGATTTACGTCAAGAGCAAAGAATCAAGAATCGAGAGCGAGAGCGAGACCGAGAGTTATAGAGCAATTGAATGGGAGATGAATAGGAGAACTTTTAATAACTCATGGTGAATATCAGTTTGAATCTCATCTTGGGGGATGTGGAGAAGACATAGGAGGTATGAGAGGGTGAAAACTTGAATGAAATGTGTCAAAAATATATTGGGAACATGAAAAGAAAAAGTAATAATGTCCATTGGTAACTTGTATTGTATGTTATTGTAATTGTAGATTAAGAGATTTTAAGATTGAATGTATAAAGTAGTAGTACTTAATGCATTATGAGTTGTTTTTAAGATTTTTAATACTTTGTGCATAAATGTATAGTACTTTATGCATTAAAAATTGTTTTTAAGAATTTTGATAAATCTGGTTTATAAAGTAGTTTATATATATATATATATATATATATATATATATATATAAATTGGTTTTCTGCTTTCAGTTAGTAAAGAGGCAAAACAACTTTACTTAGATATACAAAAGGTTTAAGTTCAGATTCATTGAATGTGAACTAGGGGTTCATCCAAACCGTCCACACCGCAGTTTAGAACATGTGCTGTTTCCGTACTATACGATGCTTTTGCAGTTTTGAGTTACCAAATCGCGGTTCAAAGCACACCGCACTGCATATTTTATATATTTTGAGTTTTATATATAATATACACATTAAGATTAAGGATCAAGACGGAAACAAAAGTGTGACACTTGGACAGTTCACAACTCACAAGTTCAATTTAGTTTTAAGTTTTTTTTTATTTACTTATTAGACAATTTTTAATTATACAATATGTATTTTGGAATCAAATGTATTGAAACTCTTTCTTTTTATGGACTATGGTCATGTTATCATTGATATTATAATGTATTTTCAAACTTATAATCATTGAATTGTAGGCATGAAATACAACAGGTAAAAACCACATAAACCGCACCGCACTGCATTTTGCGATGCCAGGTTTGGGAAAATGCTCAAACCGTATATGGGGTACGGTTTGGGGCGAATACCCCTAGCATGAACCCTTCTACTAGCCTTAACCACTAAATCAGCTCTGAAATGCCTCCTTACAGGTGGTTCCTATGGGGCAGGTTCTGCATTGGATTCGTTATGGTTTCTGGTAATCAACTTTTACTCAAAATTTAAGATTTCTTTGTCATAACATAGGTTACTAGTTCGAGGTTCTTTAAGGGTCATTAGGGCACATACAAACTAACCCGGACACCCACGATTAAAGATGGACAAACCAGTTAACCAGTCCCTGCTGTAAAAGATCACGTTGTACCAGGTCCAATTATGATCAGTTGCCTTGTAAAAATCTATGACTAGGGTAACCTGTAATAACCAGTCCTTCATAACGGGTAGGGAACCGGTTGTAACTGGTGGTGGTTGCTATTTCAATTTTCAACTCTTTCTTTATTATTATACTAGAATTATACTCGTGCAATACAAAATTATTTCGTCTCTCCCGATTTTATTTTACGGATTTGTGTAGTTAAGAGAGACAAACAGAGTTAGAGAGTCTTATGTTAGTTATTAGTTTTATGAACATTTTGTCGTATTAATAGGGCTAATTGTATTTGTACGTTTATCAGTTTTTCATAAGTTAGTTAACTTTGAGAATTAGTGCATCATGTGTTATTTTATATGATTTTTTTTCCATCTAAGATCAAGATTTAGAATATTAATTAACATATATTTGTTTTACAATATGTTTGTTTCACAATGTAAACATTTTTAGTTTGTTTGTGAAACAAAAGTTACACATAAAAAAGTTTCATACTGTGAACCACATACATATGAAGCGAACACATTGTGAAACAAATATATGTTTATCAATGCATTAAATGTTAGCCTTAGATGAGCAAAAATCATGTGAAACAATACCTTGAGATAAAAGTTCTCACGGTTATCCCAATCAGTTACGCAAGGCCCGATGTAAGACCTATTTACGTAACTAGTTGAGCCGGTTACATAACTAGCGCGATCAATCCCGATTTAATTACCATTCCACTTAGAATGTAGATATAAATAACAGTTTATACGTGTTCATAAATAAATGGCTGGATTCTAACACAAACCCGACATATATCGATCACCACCACAATATTCTTCTAAAAAACCCACGTTTTTGTCGTTCCATGCTCTTCATATCCTCGACTGCAAACAATAGAAACAAGTTACTAACTCCAACGTACACACACACACATATATATAGGTGAAGATCGTGTGAGAAGGGAAATTATGGTGAGAAGCGTAAGAAATGATCTCCACCCTTACATGCACATTAGATAGAGATGCACCGGATCAATCCTCGTATCAAACGCGATTTATGGGTGGGTTTGAGATTAAAGGGGATCAAAGGTCCAGATCCCTTCTTAAGCTTCTCATAACTATCCTCCTCACATGATCATTCGCGCGCGCGCACGCGCACACGCACACACACACACACATATATAGGGACCAAATCAAATGAGAACCATAAAGAAATGTTATAAGCCTTTGAGAACGATTTAGAAAGATCTTTTATGTGATTTTTTTTCCCACTAAATGAGAGGATTTAAGATATTGCTTCACATATATTTGTTTGATAGTGATAATCTCACATGTATTTGTTTCATCACGTGAATCTTTTTTACGTTTATCTTTTGAACCGATATAAAAATATATATTGAACAAAAAAAGTTCCACATGTAATTTTTCAGAAAGCGAACACAAACATATGTGAAACAATACCTTAAATTATAGATCTTGATGAAAAAAATCATGTAAAAAATATTTTTATATCGGTTCTCACGGGTTTGCAACTTTTTTGTGGTTTTCATTTGATTATTGTCATATATATATATATATATATAGAGAGAGAGAGAGAGAGAGAGAGAGTTACAAGAAATGAGAGAAGAGCCAAATCGCAAGTGATTCTAGAGCAAAACCGCATGTGATACAACACGTCCGGAAGGACGCACGCGACCAAGGTCATGTGAAAACTCGGGCGTGCAATGGCGGGTCAATGCGCCTTGTTTATATACACGTGACTTTACTCTAGAATCACATGTTATTTGGCCCTTCTCACATTTCTTGTAAGTTGGTTGCACATAATTACATGTGATTTCACTCGGTGCATTTATTGTAGAATCACATGTGAATTGGTGATTCTCGTGTTGTTCTCTTATTTGGTCATTGCTCTCATTCGAACCCGACTCTCTCTCTCTCTATATATATATATACATACACACACACGATCTCAAGATATAAACACTTACGCACCTTTTAGCCTGCCCGCAAGATATAAAGCTTCTTCGGCAATCGGTCTCCATTGCTCCGCACACGAGTAGTTGATTCCTAGACCGACGCTAAGCCCTCTCAACAATTGCACCGTCCGAAGAACAGAAAACAATTCCTCCGGGAAACCCTAAACAACGTATCTGTTAGACTCCCACATTTGCTAGCCATGAATAACTAAGATCAAGATTACGGATAATTTCGGGGACATTTCTTCGTGTAATGTTATTTTGAAGTTAAAATCGCATACATACCCGAACAGCGATCTTCTTTATAGAAGAATCATCCGAGAACGGCTGCAAAATCTTGACTCCGTCTGGCAACTTTGTATCGAACATGACTTGAGCTAGCTTAAATAATTCTGCCCGTTCATCCGAACATAGGCTTAACGTATCTATGCCAAGTTCCCTGATCCAATTATACGTATATTTATATATGGTATATACTTACACAAACTTCTCACATTTGGTGAGGTTTGAGCCCTTAACATCCTGTGAGGTTGGGCTCTAATGATAACCCGTCTGCTATTGGGCCAAAAACCTTTCGGTTAGAATTCACGTAATTTGCATATATCTATACCTATATATGTATATATATTTACCGGAATCCTTCTGACGCCTTCGTGTGATCCTTATCCGCTATAGCAAGAACCAGATTGGCGTAACCAAGCCTCAAGGCGTTCGGAAGATCTTTCACTTGTCCGTAGTCAAGCAACGCAACCTGAAAATAATAAAAAAAAATATAAAAAAAAATAGAGCATCTAACAACATTAGATCCAAATATATTCGGGTTGGCAGGGATACCAAACCCACCAAAGTGGCAAATTGGTCATTTTATAAGTTCCGTCCTGCCAGGGATACCAAACCCACCAAGGTGGTTTTTGGTTTGCAAAATGTTTTTTTTGAAGAAATTGGAATATGAAGGAATTAGAATAGAATTTAATCATGTTTGACCATATGTTTGGCTGGCAGGAACCGGAATAGAATCTGTTTGTTTGGTTTGCAGAATGCAGCTTTGGAATTAGAATTAAACAACGATAAATGACCAAAATACCCTTTTACAATATTCATAGTTTTCTGGCTGTGATGCTACTCGTTGCTTAAAAATAGAAATTTCCGTTGTGTGCTTACCTCCGAGCCTTTACAAATGAGAATATTCCCGGGGTGGGGATCCGCATGAAAGAATCCGCTCTTGAGTATCATTTGTCCATACGCAAGAGTAAGACTTTTTAGGATGTTCCTGCATTTAAAGATATCTCGTGAACTCTAAAACCAAATCATATCGAACACGCCCAATAAGTCCCGCACAGAAGTAGGGTCCGGTTGATATGCAGACCTGACCTCTATCCCAAAGAGCAAAATAGTTGTTTCCATGAAGACCCATCTCTCGTTGAAAAAGTTTTTGCCAAAAGAAATTAGTGAAAAAGTTGTCGGGATGCAACACTCACAAGTCACACACAAGCATGCTTAACTGCAAAGTTCTAATGGGATCTGGTGCATTAGTGCCAGTATAAGGGGGTGAGTTTAGGGATACTATTCAAGTAGAAAGTGGCAAACGAAAAATTTTCATACTCTCTCGAGTCTGTGGATCTTACTGCTTTGCTGCTGCCGCCATCTTACCGTCGGGATTTATTCCCCTTTTCATGATCTCATCTCCAAGATTCAAGATTGGGACCCCATCCATGTAATCCATCACCAGCACCCGCCTACACAATTTAGAAACGAAAATTTATCAAAAACGGATACAGCATGTTTACCTATGAGGGGCATTTTAGACATTTGACTAACAGTCGGTTACTAATATAAACCATGAGGGGGTTAGGACTCAAATCTCATATAACATTTAGGGCTCGTTTGGTATATTGGACAGATAGAACAGAACATGATAGGAATCACCGTTCCACGTTTAACAGGACTTTTATGTGGAACAGACAGATAGGAACAGAGGAATCAAGATTGGAACAAAGTGGAACAACCCTACCCCCTGGAACAAGGTGGAACAGACCTATATTTTACCAACATAACTTTAAAATAAAACCTAATTCTATTCTAAAACATCAAATACGTCTCCCACTTTATATTTTATTCATTCTTTTAAACTTTCTAATGATATATTTTGTTATAAGAAGTACTTATTTTATAATAATTTAATAATTACATAAATTAATCAAAATATATTAAATATATAAACAACTCATTAGGGGTAAATTAGTCATTTTATCTATTATGTCATGTCCAGTTCTGTCTTACCAAAAATTGAACATTTGTTTGTCATGTTTGGATACCAATACGCCCTTATCGTTACTCACCTGGTGACTGCACCCCGTATAACCCGTGGCACTTTAACCGGTGATTTTCGGTTAATCGTGTATAGAAAAGTTCTGATTCTATCCATGGCATCAGCTTCTCTTGTGAAATCGAATTCATACCCTATCTTGAATGACATTAACGGAAACAAAATTAGCATATTTACAAAATAAACGAGAATCCAAAATAGCCGAATAGGATTGGTGTTTCACCTGTTTCTCCATTTCTTTACACACCGAGAAGAAATCAAATTTTACGTCCGTCTTCTGTATGCATAACGCAAAAGCTTTCAAATTCTGGAGATCCGTCATCATCAAATCTTGAACACCGGGATGTTGTACCTACAGTGTAGATAATGATTAGAAAAGACTACATTACCCTTACCTCTTAATCACAAAAGAGTGACAACGAAGGCTCGTTTCCCTCCGTCCCAATATAAGTATCCACATTTCTATTTCAGTTTGTCTTGAAATAAGTACCCACTTCAAAAGTAAGTGTCCACTTTCCAATTCTACCCTTAATTATGAGACGGATAAATTCATCACCCCCTCTACTATGAAGGGTAAAATTGTTATTTAGTTAATTAAAAAGTGTAACAGTACACATTTCTCAAACTGTGTTGTTGTCATTGTGGACATTCATTTTGGTACCGAGGAAGTAGTAGTTAGAACCGGTGGCGGAGCCGAGAGGGGCTAGCAGGTGCAGCGACACCCGACCCCCAAACCCAAAAAAAGACGTTCAAAATTTTAGTATAAAATCATAAATTTTCTATCTTTGCCACCGGTTATAGCCTCACGCAAGAACCATTGTTTATGTAGGCTTACCTTCACAACAACATCAAGCTTGCTGCCTTTTAGTCTAGCTCGATGAACCTAAATTGACGGAAAAACAACCAAAATATTACATGTTGATAATTTAATACGCCTAAAACTCAACGTAGGTTATAAGCGCAGGTTTTTTAATGTAAACCATACCAAACGAGTGCAATATATCCCATCCAGAGGTGGGTCCCCGTCCCCGGGGGCAGGGAGATGTACATAGACCTGATCTAACCCTAAAGAGTAGAGCGGCAAGACCAGGTTTTTTAATGTCATACAACCAAATATCCTCAAGATAACACCATTTGAGGTTTAATATCATATTCAACTACAAAAGTCGAACGATTCAATAATTGGATATTTCTAAGTCACGCATAAAATAAGCAAGTTTTGGGTTTTAATTTCTTGAGTGCACGAAACAGCCATAAGATACCTGTGCAATTGAAGCGGAGCCGATTGGATCCCATTCGAATCTTTCAAACATTTCATCGACATTTTTACCCAACTCCTTCTCGAGAACAAGTTGCACCATGTTAGATGGGGTTGCTGGAGCTTGATCACACAGAGTAACTAACCTCCTCACCCATGCAGCCGGTGCTAAGTCTGGCTTCCCGAGAACTTGGGCAATCTAACAAATCCCCAATTTTTTACATCAAGATTCAGCCTTTATTACGTAACAAGTATTATAATTCTACAATCAAGACACGCAAAATGACAGCCCTTTTGCACCAAGATTCCTTGGCTTGCCTTTCCCTTGCATTCTGCAAGGAGGCGGTTTCCATGACTCAAACCTGTGACCTTCCAATCAGAAAAGAAAATTAAGAAGAGAACTCCCCCAAAAATCCAAACAATACACAAATAAGACGAAGGGTGTGTTTTTGTTAGCAGCTTAATGAGATTAATGGGACTCACAACTTATTCGGTCAGCTATACATGGAGTAATGGTTTAATGATATAGAAAGTGGCTTATTCGGCAAGCTTCTAAGGGGAAGCTTTATGCAGAAAGCCAAGTTTTTTTTCCAAACCTGCCCCACCCAATTAAAAAAACATGATCCTTCTATCTATGAAAAAACCCTCATAAACAAAAACATTTCCTCTCTATATAGAGAAATTAATCCACACAGACAGCTTTATCTATACAGGACTTAATGGAAAACTAACTAAACAGCACCTGGATTCTTTTGACTTCTCACAAACTTACCATTTACCACCGAATTCATCTTGAAACAAAAATACAAGCATCCAAACTAAATGCTTCTTAGTGTTGGAGTCCCATATCACTTAGATTTGAACCATTTGTCCTCGGTACATGATGAAGCCTCTCCTCAAGTCCCTTTTAAAGAGTGATCCAATCGTGTTCCATATACTCTTGCATGGTATCAGAGCCAATGTCTATTCGCTCTAAGGACTCGACACTTCGGGGGAATATGCACTCGTCTAGTCCCCTCATCCGTCTAGCCTCTCTGCTCCACACGCTAGACAATATGTGTCCATCTAGCCTCTGTTGAAGGGGGCTATCAAAGTCCCACATCAACTACACTTGGACCATTTCTCTTCAATATATGTTAGAATGTCTCTTCTCTAATCTAACAGGGTTCCACATATTCTCACGTTTAGAGTCCATAAAAGGGCATAAAGAATAACACCCATCGTAGAGAAAGTGTGATAGCACCAAAGATTCTTTGGTTAGCTAAGGCGTAAGTCTTTCATGTCCCGAAATTGCCACATTGCGGTCACTAGGTTCAACCTCCAACACACACCCCTAAAATACTCTTGGTTTCTTAAAAACTGGCCAATTTACCTAACCCAATTCATCCTACAACAGAAACCCCAAAACCAGTCGGGTTGCGGCGCCTACTTAAAGGCTCAGGGGATGCAGTGGAGGTTCACCTGCGATGACTCAGGCCATTCATGGTCTCCCGGGGATTAGTCTATGGACGTAAGCTGGCCCGGAAACCCCAACAAAAATCCCAAAACCCAAATCGAGTTACACATTAACAGTCTATAAGAAGGCACAATAAAAAACTCGTCATAGAAGATTCAAAATTTTCCATCAAACCAGCCCAATTCATCATATACAACTAGAAATCCTAAAACCCCAAATCGAATTACACATTAAGAGTCTATAAAAATGCATAATAACAACACCGAATCATAAAAAGATCCAAATTTTTGCAACAAACCAACCCAATTCATCATATACAACAGAAATCCTAAAAACCCAAATCAAATTACACATCAAGACTCCATAAAAAGACCAGCCCGATTCATCATATACAACAGAAATCCTAAAACCCCAAATCGAATTACACATTAAGAGTCTATAAAAAGGCATAATAACAACACTGAATCATAAAAAGATCCAAATTTTTGCAACAAACCAACCCAATTCATCATATACAACAGAAATCCTAAAAACCCAAATCAAATTACACATCAAGACTCCATAAAAAGACCAGCCCGATTCATCATATACAACAGAAATCCTAAAAACCCAAATCAAATTACACATCAAGACTCCATAAAAAGACATATAACATTCATCGTAAAAAGATTCAAAACCTTGGATCAAAAACCAACCTTGAGAAAGAACCCACCCATTTCAGAGCACATGGAATAAGCTTTTTCAGCCGCTTGCTCATGTTGTCTCTCCCACATTGCCTCTGCCTTCTCCACATCCTTCACAAGATTAACCCGAACCTGAAACACCTAATAACAACACCCACAAAAAGAAAACATCAAGAAAACCCACAAAAAAGAAAACCCACAAATGGAGGGCTGGTTTTCTATCGATTGTTCGAATCTGTTACCTTATAACCAGTGTAGATATCGAGAGCTCGAACCCAGAATTGGAAGGAACGCTGCCATGGTCTGAAGCCAGTTGATAACTTCTCTTGAAATTCTTTGAAATCAATTGGCATTCTGTAATCTATACTGTTTGATCGCGTCTGCTGTGCTTCAACTTGAAACTGGACGCAAATTGAAGGAAAATAAATGGATAGATAAAGGGCGTTTTCCTCGAGTGTTTACGTGATTCAAGTGGCCACCAATTTGCCGAACAAAATTGGAGCCATGAGTGAAAGATTTGGAGTATATCTGTTAAATGTGGCTACAATGGAAATACGGAATTCTGGGGTTGCTGCTGGTCCCTTCTATTTACATGTGGAGTGCTGATGCATGCCACAACCTTTTTTTGGAGGGTATGATTATATTCGGGAAAAAATCAGAGTTTTAGTTGTGTTTTTTTATAGCGAACGAAAAAGGAAATAAATGGAAAAGGAAATCATGTTTTGAAATGGAAAGAAATGAAAAGAAATATATCGCTTTATAAATATATTTTTATTTAATTTATAGATAAATATATAATTTTATAAATATTTTTAATTGTTATAAATTATTTATCTATACTATATTATAAAACATTTGACAAAAACTCTTAAAAATCACTTTTTATGCGTAAAATACTGTTTATTAATGCATATTACTTAAAACTCAAGATTGCAAGTAAATTGTACTTAAGTACAAGTTATTAAAACTTCATATATGAATTCGTGTAACTAACTGCAGATAAACATAATCAAATACAGAATAAATATCACATTTTAAATATATAAAATCTAAAATATAATTAAAATAATCATTGAGTTCTAAGAGAATACTTAATTGTTATTATTTATAAAATGTTAAACCAAAAATAAATTATTTCATTATTAAACTTAAATTAAATTTATAATAAAAATAATAAATTAAAGAAATTACATAAAAAAATGAGAACTTTTAAATAGTTGATTTGATATTAACATTGATATTTTTTTTTCAAATTTTTATGATATCTTCAAATTTATATTTTATTCAAAAATAAAATCATTATTTCTTTTTAAAAACACATAAAATCGTATTATAACATCGACGTAGATAAATAATAAAATAGAACATTAGAATCGAGATGTGTTTCGTTGCATTGCACGAGTACTCTTCTAGTTTAGGAAAAATATTTTTCTTTCATTTCTTTTTTTAATGTTGTGTTCTCGAATTTGAGAATTAAAAAAATGATGGAGAAAAAGGGGAAAATTATTTGTCCTTCTAAGAGGAAATGACAAAAAATGAATTTTCAGGTTCTTAAGAATGAGAGAAAAATGTCAATCTTACAAATTTACTCGTATTTGTTTTCCAATAGATTGTAATTAATTAAAAGATTAAACCACAAGGACGATGTTTGATTGGTTTGAGTTTGGACTCTAAAGATCAAAAGTTTTAGAAATGAGATATTTGAGGAACTAAAATACAACATTTTAATATGTATATGGTTTTAGAGAGATATAGGATGAATTCACAATACTACGCTTTAGCCAAAACCTAGAAAATCAAGAGAATGCTAAAAAAAATGGAGATGAACACTTGAATCTTGGACCCTAAACTTGAATCATTAGCTTTGATGATGATAAACCCCTTTGAAATGGTTGAGGAAGTGTTTTTAATGCTTCAAAAGTTGGAGTAAATAATGAAGAGGGAAGGAAGAAAATCAAGAAAAGTGTAGGTTAAGAAAAAGACCCAAAACCGGCCTCTTTATGCTGGGCAGACCAACCACGCAACCTGGCCTGCGACTTGAAGTCACGTTGCAGGTCGCCAAGAACCTGACCCCTTACACACAGTGTATCTCGCGACCCGAGCAGCGACTTAAGTCGTGCAACAAGTCACTGGACCACTGTTTTCATGTGGTTTCACCCTTTTTTTTCAGATTTTCAAGCCTAACAAGTTACCAGCGATACTGATTAATAAAGACGCTTAAGAAGAATTAATTTGAGTCCAAATTCATGGCCAAATTCCACATTCGTACTAGAAATTTTCGGGTGTTACAGGCACCCTGCACCATCAACCTCTTTCCATTGGCCGACAACTATTATTTCTGGCGTCTGTCGAGCCAGAAGTTGCAACCAACGACCATCCTTTCCTGTGACTAACGACCATTTTTTTCCATAAAGATATCGATTTCCTCCCTCTTATACGTGTGTTATCTTTTTCTCTATTTTTCTACATTGATTTCTCCTTCTGTGGGATGTATGATATCGATTTCTTACTTCTATGGCAGCTTATACTTTTTTTTTTTTTTGTTACAATGTATTGGTGGTCATTCCACTCAACGCTCCCAATTCTCCCTTAAATCAGTTGCTTTAAATTTAATCATCATAAAATATATTTATACATTTATATCCAAAGCAATCCACATAAATTCCGCAAACCCCTTGGTGAATGAACATGTAAAAGAATTGAATCGACACTAACCATAAACCCGGAATAATGTGCCATCAAATCCTTCGAAGGAAGAGGAATCAAATCAAGCAAACAAGAATATCTTGTCACGTCTCTCAGCCTCTTCCAAGATTTCGGTTAGTTGGTTTCCTTAACAACGGCTTGATGATGATAAAGGGGAGATCGACAGGCTAAAAGCCAAGCGTCAATGAATCCACCATATGATCCTGGCTAATGCACAATCCATGCAGCCATTGTTGCAGATCCTGCACAGGCTAAACAACGAGCCTGCATAGAGAAAGCAGCTGTTAATGTAGATCGTATATAGCAAATAATGTGGCGAAATCTTTTAGTTTTGTGAGAATAAGTGGAGCCCCGCTAAATTACTCTCCAAAATAGTCAGAGGAGAGAAAGGAGGTTTCAGCATATAATGAGGAGAAATAATCCAAATCTAGCAGACATGAGACTCTTGCATGCCCCCTCCGACAGAGACTAGACGAGCACAAATTGTCCCAAAGTGTCGAGTCTATAGAATGGTAGACCTTGCCTATGATATCATGTGAGAATATATAGAACCTCATTAGATTAGTTCACAGAAAAAACCTCAAGAGAGAAGTGAGGTTCTGGCATCTATCAAGGAGACAAGATCCAAATCTGGCCAAAGTGGGACTCTTAACAGGTTTTACTATGGGGTCTATTAAGGGTGCGTTTGGTATGCGGCAGGCCTGGCCTTGGCCACATGTGGCCGGACAGGGCATCAAGTTTTCTATTTATTATAATTAATAAAAATTGGCGTGCGGATGAACTGCCTAGCTTGACTTGGTTCCAAATTGTTTAAAAATATACGGCGTTTTTATAGCATTTCAGTACAGGGCATCAGAAACCCCAGGACCGGTGGTCCTGGTATGCGGATGGGACTTGACAGGACTAGACAGGCAAGATCGAGGTAGGCAGGTGAAGAAATTCTGAAAGGTTTTAAAGTTTAAAATTTAACATGGGTAATTTAGTAGTTTATCAATCTTGTCTCATCTCATTTTTGTTCCACCTATTTTGGTGGGACGAAAAAAATGCATTTTTGTCCCACTCTGGTTCCAAGTCTAATATCACGCGAAACGTGGGACAAGTTTTCTACTGTCATGTCCGTCATGTCCCGTGTACCAAATGCACCCTTAGAACATTTCTGAAAGAAGTCATTAGCTAACATACATTTGAACATGCTCCAAATAAAACCTAGTGATACTCTGAGTGAGTATTTGGCGATGTTGATGCAGTTCGAAACGGATCTAGGAAACACTAGGAAGACATCCAATTACAGTTACAGATTTAGTACTATAGTCCTAAACTCAGGCGGACATTGAAGAATGGGCGAAAAAGGAAAAACATACCTAAAGATCAATAACACGAGAAAGCTTCTGAATCCGATTCAACAAGAAGTCCCCTTGCTTAACAGTTGCTTGATAGAGAGCGTTCTTTGCATCTGGACGATTAGTTTCTAATACACCTGCGACTTTATCAATCTTGCAATGAAGCTTCCCGGCCGCAATGAAACGTGACAGCTCCCTGATGACAACAAAGGATGGTCGGTTGGACACATCAGTTACCGACAAAACAACTTTATGTGTGTCGAAAAAATTCAGGGTCGTCAAGCAATAGTATATGGCATTCATAAGATCTTATTTTCAAACATGGATGTGTATGTGCAACAAGGATTCAGGACTATTAATTGTTGGTGATATTAGTGTCATCATCTATTTAGTGTAACTGAGATTTACAAGAGACCAAAGGCTTTTGGTTAAGTTATAACACGGGTTAGGAGGTGCAGACACACTTGCATAAGCTAACTTGAATCCAGGCTCGCCATACAGCAGGGGTCAAGGTGGCCGCACCCCCTTGAGGGGTCAAGGGTGCAATAAGTGAGTGCTTTCTGTGGCACTGCAGCACGTGCCTTCAGTGACACTGATCAGTGAGTGCCTTCCATGGGTCATTGGTGCTGACCAGGGAACTCACTTATGCCGGTAACCACGTACCTATAAAAGGAGTTTTCAAACTCGTTTTTACAGATGAATAATATTTTGAGAGAACTCATGGTTGGTCAACTACCATGATATGAATTTCATAAGGAAGGTGAAGTTTTCTAAACATGTGTGTGCGTTGGGAAGGATTCAGGGTTGTGAACCATGATGGGGTGCCTTTACAAACGAAGGGTCAAAATTTCCTATTTTTTCAGAGGGCGCTTGACTCATGTTAAGGGAATAGAAATGGCCACTGGGAATGAAAAGTCAATCCCCCCCCCCCCAAATTTTTTTTTTACTAGGGTGGGTATATGAGTACCCACTTTCAAGTAATCGATCATTGCATTATATTGACCAAGCACCATTATTCTTTCATCATTACCGTTCCCCACCCCCTAATACCCACAACCAAGCACTCCCTCAGTTTTAGGGAACTAAAAATACAATGAGGAATAGCTTACAGATCAATGAAATCTACTTTCACACCGAATGCCTTTGCCATTGCCTCAATGGTGACACTCTTGTAAGATTCCAAGAACTGCGAATAGACAACAGTTCTTATCTCCCTCATATAAAACCGGAAGTGTGGATACAAATAGCGGTCCAACTTAATATGCTCCGTAAGCCCAGCTGCAATAATGAAGATTAAATAATATTTCAACCAAGCATGCAAAGCATATAAATAAACAAAATTATTACAGCCTAAAAAGCTTAGGGGACGTTGGGTTCGCAGTCAAAATCTGAAGGAAATGGAATGATCAATTCCGTTGACCAAATTCCATTCAGGTATTTGGTCTACCAGTGGAATGGAATTGAATTCCACACATTCTACCATTCATGGATTTGGTCATTCCATCACAATTGAGAAGAAATTCAATTCCATATCATCCCATTTTCTCAAAAACACAAAATTATCCCCATCCTCCCTACTTGATTTACCAAGATCCATATGACCTCCATCTGGAAACAACGCAGACCACCCCCGTTATGAACTACCGCCGACCACCACTGATTTAAACCACCGTTCTAAAGCACTGCCGACCACCACATATTCCGTTCCATTTCATTCCAACCAAACATGCGGTCAAATTCCATTCCAATTCCTTCAAAGTCAAATTCCTTTGACAGATTCCATTCCTTCGGAAAACGTTCTGCAAATCAAACGCCCCCTTACAGATATATGTTTACAAAATTAAAATTATGTGCAACTGACTGTTATGTCCCAACCATGCAAACAAACCCAAAAAAGAAATAATCATTAATATGCAAAAGTAAACGACTGATACAGCAAAAACTCAAGAATGACTAGTAATTAATAACATTAGTTTCGTTAAATGAGACTTGACATCACATTGCCTTTCAAAACAACCTGCTACAGCTTTGTTGGATCTGGTAGAACTTTTAATATGCAGATAAATCATAACCTTGGACCGTTTGCAAAATAAATGCCACTAAAAGGATCAAATATTAATCATCTTAACCATCTCTCCACCAAGTATTAATCACCTTTTTTTGTGAATCTCTGCACCAACTTTTTGTTACAGCAAAAGCCATATGATCCAAGTGACAAGTGTGTATTGTTTTATATAAATAATGCTTCACGCAAGTTAGAAATAGTTCACTTAGCCAAATGAGAAATTATCCTATGGAAAAAAATCTTATTTTAGAATTTATGAGCATTAGAAAGGTGAAAAGATTACAAGTGCTTGGATGAGGATGAAGCAATTTATTCAATACCATAAGATGATATGAGCACTAAACTCAGAGCAGATATACTTACCAAAAGCAGAGAAAAATGATTTGTATTGGCAATCATACAAAGAGTTCATAAACTCAGATAAGTAAGGAATTTTTCCAATTACTGTCAGGATCTCTGGTGCATCCACTACCTGCACAGTAAGTACTACGTAGTAATTTAGATGTCAATAGAGCAGACAGCATTAGACATGAGCAGCCTCTTGCACAGAGAATTTGAAGAGAAAAAAGATGGAAAAAGAAGTTAGGCGTGACCCAAATGGAGAAATAGTGAAATACCTTTTGCTTTAGAGAAACTCTATCCAATGAAATAATGCTTGCCAGGACAGTGTAGAATATGAAGGTGTCATAGGGGAAAAGTTCATAAGTAGTGAATGTTGATATAGAATCAAGGAACAGATCAGCGGCTTTCTTAAAGTTGCGAGTGGACATGCAGTACAAGCCTTCATACACTTTCAATCGGTTCTTCCTCTCCCAATCACCTCCTTCCTCAAACAATCTGTCATCAACATTACGGCTAAGAACAGAAACAAAAACAACCGAAGATGACAATTGAAGCCAGTACAGAAGAATTTCAACTTACTTCTTTGCTTTATCAATGCTTCTCGAAATAAGATCAAAATCCATGTAGAAGAAACCCATTTGTAGTGTATAAAACACCAAGTCCATCCTTTGTCCTACAGCAACTGTTTTACCTTCTGTCACCTTGAGTTGTTCCAGTGCCTTCTCCTAAGTGCATCCAAAAACGTGCAAAAGAGGCTTACTTACTGGCATATTAAAGCAGTAAGTTTAAAAGAGCTGATTAATTATCCTTGTTGTCTACCTTGTCACCAATCCGAATGTAGAACAAGGATTTAGCCAAATGAGCTTCCCGGACTTCACTTTCTCCTAAATTTTCCTCAGCATCAGCTATCCTAATGCAAATAAGCAAACAGAAATCAGTGATGGTAAATTAAGTATGTTGCACATTTCAATTGAATAAACATAATAGAAGTTCACAAGACGCCAGTTTTGCTTTTGTTTTGCAAGTCAGGGTCTTTACGGACCTCTCTATCCTCCCGGGTAGAGGCAAGGTCTGCATACATCTTAATTCCTACCCTCAGACATAAGTCGGTGTGGGAGATAAGGAACTTTCTTGGTGAAGACTTAGAACCCTTTAATTACCAACATCTTACAAACCAGATGCACTATTGGAACCTCAATTCAAGAAAACCAGAACTGCACAAGAATATTTGCATCAAGGATCAAATCCGAACAATGTTGTCCAGCTCATCAAATTAAAGATGCTATCTACTACGATTAGGGCTACTATTTTATGGAACCATAGTAGACTGCTATACCAACACAAATGAGCTATAATCGAGGTAAGCTCAAATACAGATGTTACATGTTAGGCTTACTTAAAATCATCCTACAGTTACACATCACACGGATTAGGTTTATGTAAAAGAATATCAATGGCTCCAAGCCACTCTATACCTTGCTTAATTTCCTGTAACATGAAAAAGTCTGACATCATTCCGTAGTCAGAACCTACTACGAAGGTAACAGTAAGGCCCATTCAAGTTTTAACGGCTGGCACTCATATTGTATCACATAGTCAAAGACAGAAGAACATGGCATTCAACGATAACCAAATTGAGCAAACAGTGAATGTACATGTTCGGGGTTTTTTTAGTACCATCTGAAACTATAACGGTCCCCGACAGTCTGCAATATAAGGATCACCTCGGATTACTCTTAGTTATCACACATTGTGATACACTCCAACTACCAAAATGCACTGGAACCCAAACTCCACTATTTTCAATTAGAATCTTATATTCTATGGTTCTATGCCCACATTTCAGACTTTTCATTTCAACCTACTCAGATATGTCTGCAAGTATATTGAAAAGGTTTCACATTTCAGACTTTATTACAGACAAGTCATCCCCGCATACCAATTTCAGAACATACACTTCCTATATTAAGATATTAACATCGAATTTAAATGGAGTAACATAGCAAACTTTTATAGAGAAATTAACAACATACTTTCTTTCAAATTGGAGGTCTCTAGGCCTATACATGCTCATACATTAACATAGAATGATCGTCCATGCAACTACACTACTGCAAAAAATATACTCTTACTTGTCATCAAGTTTCTTGAGCTCCTCGTCAATTCTAACACGCATCGAATCTAAAACCTTCTGGTCCAGCTTCAACACGGAACCCGCAGTTAGGGTTTCGTACAACGGAGCCATATCTGCGAAACGAAAATCATAAAATCCAAAAACTGATCAAAAATCACAAATCACGCAAAAAACTAATCTAATGTATAAGGAGGTAATAAAATCCGTTCGAGCAATTCTAGTGGTGGTTACCGTCGGCGACGACGGTGGACGTGACCTCGTCGCGGAGTCTGACTTTTTCAATGTCGTCGACATCGGAGTGTGTAAGAAGGAATAACTTGTTGGCGAACACTAGGTGCGGTTGCTGTGTGCCTTCCGTATCTTCCATGACGTCTCGGTCTTTTCTCTCCGGTGATGGGCTTTTGAACTCTGTTGTGCTTAGCTTGCGGAAGAAGAAACTTATTTATAAATGTACCCCCTGCTCTTTGATTCTATTACATTTGTAGTCCCTGTACTTTCAATGGTATCATGACATGACTGATTCTTGAACAAGTGTAATGTAGTTTGTATGTAAATGTACCCCCTTATATTTGATTCTATTACATTTTTAGTCCCTGTACTTTCAATGGTATCATGACATGAATGATACTTGAACAAGTGTTACCGTAGTTTGTATGTATGCTCGTTATTTACCTCTTAACAGTTTCATTAAAAGGCAACATCTGAATCGTTAAGATGTGAATCTTATTTGGCAAAAAAATGTTGTCTTTTAATGGTTCTAAAATCCTTAGAATGATTTGCAATTAGTGTCTCTCTTAACCATTCAGCGCCCTAATTTCATTGTAAACAATTACTAAACAATTATATTTTATTTTGCACTATATTATGAGAGTCTCTTAATCATTCTGACCACTTAATCATTCTACACCAGATCATTTAACAACTACCAAACAATCCCTAATTGGACAAAAGCCATTAACTCCATGTGCAATGACCTTATGTGTAGAAGTACACGTAACAGTGTTAGTTAACGAACTTATTAGAATGTATTTTTTCAATTCTTGGATAAATATACGTACATTTGTGTCGTATTTGGCGTGTTTGCTTGACATACGATGATGTTTGTGGGGGTGTGGAAGAACATACCATTGAGAAGGCGTGAACAAAGACGTTTTCGTCTACATTTGTTATGATAACGTCTTTTTAATAGAGCACGAGGTCGAGTTGGATAGACACAACTCTTTATCTCGAGTTCGTTGCTTCTACTTTTTCACTATATTAGTCTTATTATTTAAACCTCACACTATGCATATACATGTACAAGTGTGTATGCATGTATGTGTTTAGCGTCCCCTAAAACACCAAAAATATTATATATCCGACTTACAAAACGATATATTTTTCATTATATCCAACGCACTATCTTTTATCTGTTATCGTTTCTAATTCTATTTTTATGTTCATTCGATAACATTTAAGAGGTTTTTTTAAGTATATAATATTTATATACGACAAATAGAACAAATAAACTCAAACACCCTTCTCACCTTTGGTGAGGTTTGAATCTTCTATGAGGTCAATGACTCACATACCGCTATGTCAAAGACCCTTTGATAGGTTGTTTTATTGTTTTATTAAAGGAATACTCAGATAACAACGATGAAGATATTAAAAAATTTATTTATTATATATACTTGGCGAGGATAAGTTGGAAAAATATATCATCGTGTCATTATTAGTTCAATAGAATGAATTTTGTCGTTTTACAAGAATTAACTAGTTTTATAGAATTTACGTCATACAACTGTTTATAACATGACAAATTGCTCTTATAATACTTTTGAAGTATTACTTGAAGTCTAATGAGCCGTTTATCAAACACTTACTTGGTAAGCGCTTACTAGTAAAATTTAACAGTAACACTCACTTAGCGGGTAAGATTTTAGTCCACCAAGACGGCATTGTATGCAATAACTTATTCAGTAAGCGCTTACCGTGGTAAGAGTCGTTGTCCTCGCTTATTGGGTAAGACTCTTGGTCCTCCTCAATAGCTTTGTATTCAACTTTACTTATTTCTCTGGAACAAAGAACTTCATTAGTATGTTGAGTAAATCATGTTTTTCGTCCATGTGGTTTGTGGGAATTTTTCTGCTTTCAAGAATAATGGTAGGGGGTTAAGTCCCTCCACTGTCTCCTCCTCTCCATACGACCCCAACGTGACTTAAGTTGCTTGATGGATCGTCCAATTCACTAGAACATGAAAATAGAGCCCTGTGCGGCCTTGTCCATGGCTAAAACCACCCGTCTACCCACCTAACCTGCTGGACGAATCTCGCAGGTAATTGGTCACAAGACCAGTTGCCCACACCCCCTGATCCGAGTAGCAGCATGAGATATTACAATTATTATATTTATTTCCCCTTAAACTATCTTTATTCTCTGTTTAAGGACGAACCACTAACTTTACTTTTATTTTCATGCTTCTGAATTATTAATAAAGAGGTTTTCCTGAGAGTTTCTCATAATGGATGGTTTTACGTCTATAACCTTGTAATTGTTAGGTTTAGATGGATATGTTATTTCAAAAAAGTGTTAGTACACTTGAAAACTGTGTTAGGGGATGTTTGGTTCGTTTTCTATTAAATCCTGTATGAATAAAGATGACCGTGTGAATTAATCTGTTTCTGTGGATTGAGAGAGTTTTTGTTTGAAAGAGTTTTTCATAGATGGAAGAAGAATATTTTTTACCTTGGAGGAGCGGTTTTGGAAAAGAAAACCTGGCTTTATGAATTAAGCTTCCCCTAGAAGCTTACTGAATAAGTCAATTTTCTATATCATTTAACCACTACCAAACAGTCATGTATAACTGACCGAATAAGTTGCACGTCTCATTAGCTCAATAGTGCCCCTTTGTGACTTTTGAGAAAAAGGGAAGTTTTAAAACAATTTGAAAAACTTAAAGGGCCTAAAAGAAAAAAAGTGAAAACATACGAGGGTTAAGTGTAAATTTAGAAACGTTTCATTTTAACCCTTTAACTTTCGAAAATCTTTCGGATTTATGATTATTTTTCAGTTTTCACCTCCCTATTGAATTTGCCAAAATCCAGCAAAAGGGAAGAAGAGAGAAATTCGTTCGAATCAAGGAGATGGCGAGGCCGAAAGTTAGGGCATATAAATTCATCGTCGTCTTGATTTCGTTACAATTGATGATTCGAGTCTTCGCAATTTCAGAGGTCTGTTTTCTTCTGATTCCCAATTTAATAGCAAAAATGGTGTTTTCGGTTTACGTTGTTTCACGTTCTAGGATGAATTTCTTTTACCTGATGTCATTTTAACATTTTCTAATTGCTTGTTTATGTTAAGGACGTGTTTATACAGTTGATGAATACGATATTTTTTGAAACATGATTTCGTCCCAGATTTCTAGTTTGAGTCACTTATCATTTTTGCAGTGCGAGTCTGCCAGTTCTAAACTTGTTTTTGAATAATTTTTTGATTTCGATTCAAATCCAGTTTGATGTTCTTAATCGTATTCTAAGGAAATCTTTTGATTTTAATATGTTAAAAGGTTTTTAGAAGAGTCTCCAATTATTGTAACAGGTAGAAGGAATAAGTTCTGCTATTGAACCCTTTGTCTTGTTGGAAATATCAAGATAGGTATCAATCAGATTAATTTAGGGGTATGTGTGATTAAGAACTGGATACAAAGACACATAGATATGAGAGTTTGTGGATTATTCTGCCCCTTGAGTTCTATTTTTGGAACCAAATGTTCTTCTAAAACCCAACCTTTTGTCCTGGAAAAAAGCCCCCTTATGATTCATCTTCATTCTAATTTATTCCATTTCAAGTTTTATCTTTAAGATTTAACTATTTAAGACTAACCTGATGCTCCTAAATAAACATTCCTGTTTATAAAGATTGAGATAAAATCAGTATAATAATTTGTGTTTAACCGAAGGTGAAAATTTTCATAAATCCGATGGACTCACTTTTGCTTCGGGATGGGGGACTAATTTGTTACAGGCTTTGAGAGGTCATATGCTGTGGTATGACAGAGAATAATAAATCGTGATTGCTAAGGATATTAGTTTTAAGGCTGTGTATGATAAATTGTACATATTACTGCATCTCACAACATATGATTCAAAAGTCATGTGCTCTGGAATTCAGGTGATAACTATGTGAAACATGTGAACTTCGAGCATTTCAAGATGCCAATATTGGTTTTTGCTATTTGTGTCACTATGGTAGAAACAAGAGAAGTGATTTTGTTGACCAAATTTGTTGTTCCCAAAGAAAAAGGAACGAGAGATCCCACCGAATTAAATTGGGTCCAGGATTACAATAAATAGTGAGAATTATTGATCTCTATCAATTCTGAAATCCACGTGCCTTATATTTGGCTTTGAATAATCCCGTTGATGTGTACAAATATGTAATTCTTGTGGTCAATAGCTTTTCTTTGTAATTTTGCTAAAAGGAAAGTTGAATTCATTGCATATCTAGTTTCAGCCTTTGGAAGAACCTAATTGGCAAATATACCTGCTGTTTATTTTACTGTTGGAGCATAAATGGAGGCGTGGGTGTTATCAAATTGCTTCATATGTGATGCTTAATGGGATGGTTTATTTTACTTAACTTTGCAAACCACTTTCTGAGTCAAACCATGTACTTCCCAAAATTGCCATATAAGTGAAAGTTTTGTTGTTGAATTATATGTTTATGTTCGTGGCAAGGCTATAGACACTCTATATATTGTCCGAGTAAAACCTAATGGTCTTAAGCTAGCTGCATAATTGCAACTTTGCAACATTTAACCTTTTATTTTGTGTATGTGTATATGAGGCATGATAATGTGTCATTGGTTTTACAACATTGATTGCAACTTTGCGCTTCTGCCTATTAAAGTCACCACAATTGTTGTAGGTCCAGCATTCAGAAGAGCACACTAATGAAGTTCATTGTTCCAGAGAAAGAAGTAGGGCTGCATACAAAATTATTGAGGAGGTATTTGCAATTGATAGTTCTCAGATGTAGTTGGCATCAGCTATTGATATTAGTCATGTTCAATTGTCACAATTTGGGCACCACCTTGTGATGCATGAGACTTTCAACAAATAACTTGCCCTTGTACTATGCAGTATTTGATTCCATTCGTGGAACGAGAAAAATTTCGGATGTCACATAGGTGTAAACTTCATCATAGCAATGACATTTTTAGAGAGCAAGAGGAGCACAAGATTCATGTGGACGTGAATGAATGGCGTTGTGGATACTGTAAGAAAAGCTTTCGAGCAGAGAAATTTCTTGATCAACATTTTGACAACAGGCACTACAATCTTCTAAATGTTGTATGTGCGATCTGTTTTACATTTTTATGATATATTATGGGTTTAAGTTTTATAGTGTTTAATCCAAACTGCCATGCTTCGTTTTAAGTGCAGCAACATACATCTTGTTTTTGTAGCATGTCTGCATGTATCCTTCAATACCACTAGCCATCATGTTCCATTGACAGATTCTCAATTTTCTCTTGCATTGAACTTCTCTACTTATTTCAGGCACCTGCATTCATGTATGATGTATGAATGAGGGAGCATTAAATTTTGTTGGGTTATTACTCATATTCTAATTAATTTTGTTTGAGATGTCGAATGAGATGCTGCTCTAAGGAGCTACTTGCTGTATAATGAAATTGAGGGAGATCGAAGTTAATAATAGAGTTCAAATTTTTGGGAACATATTGATGTTGATTCCTTGCAAGTCTTAACCATGAAACTTGTTCACTTCTTTGGTTAATAGCTTGCATTTAGGAAGTTTTTTACTTAATTCTGTTAAGATCAACAAGCCTTTATCCCAGAGTTGTGGGGGTAGGTTATAAATGAAACCCGTCAGGAGTTGCAACTGTTTCCATGTCTTGACCTGATATTCTTTCCATGGTAATTATTCTGTGCATCTGTGGACTTGATTCAGACTTGTTTCTCACTAGATTTTTTGTATTATAAGTATATTCTTTGAACTTTAGAGTGGCAGCAATTGCTTGGCAGAGCTATGTGGAGCATTGCACTGTGATCATGCAACGAATTCTGTTGTTCCCAAAACAAAGTGCAATCCTGCAGCTGCAGCAAGAAACCGCCACTTATGTGAGGTTGTCTACTACCAGATTTCATGAATTTCACTACAATTTTTTTTTTGGCTAAAAATACATTTTTAATGCAGAGCCTTGCAGACAGCTGTTTTCCTGTTCATCAAGGTCCATCAGCAAGCCGACTTCATGGTATCCTTTGATGTTTCTATGGATCTATATGCTGTTTTATCATGTACATTACTAGACCTTATGATTTCCTATTGGCAGAACTGTTTTTGCGCCAGTTCTGTGATGCCCACACTTGTTCGGGCAACGTCAAACCTTTTCCTAGGGGAGGAAGGGTAAGTATTCACTCTTATAATATCTGATATATCTTGGTTAACGAACAAAATCTACTAAGGATTGGATGCTAGAAGTTTAAAATAGGTTATAGAATAGCCATACCGCGCTTATGTGCTATGCCAGCATTGGTCATTTGCATTTTTTTTCTCAATCTGCCGTCGAGGAGAGAGATTTTCTTGATCTGATTTTGCCATAGAGTTTGCATACAATGCCAATTTTGGGCCGTTGAAAGTGCTCTTTCAACTGCTCATTTTGATTTTTTATGCCATACATCTTCTGGCTGTCAGTTCCATAAAGATTTACTCGAAAGGTGTCAGGAGCCCAGCATGTTCACCCACTAGGCCGAGTATTCACACACTTCAGCGTCTTCGCCTTTAGATAACAAAAAGTGTCCTCCCGCTAAACTACGACGAACATAGACTACTCTTTTGATTGTCAAAAAATCTATTATACTTTACTCCCTCCATTCCACAATATACGCCCACAATGAAAAGGACACAATCTAAAAAATGTATAATTATTACACGTTTTAATCAACAAAATGACAAATTTACCCTTAATAATAGAGGGAGTAAAGAATTTCTCCACCTCATAATTAAAGGTAAAATTGGAAAATAGGCACTTATTTTGGGACAAACTAAAATAGAAATGTGGGCACTTATTGTGGGATTGAAGGAGTGATTTAGAAACTTTTAGAGGGTGTTTGGTTCATTGAATTCATAAGATTTCAAGGGAATTGGAATGGTCGATCCCTTTGTTTGGCTGCATATTGAAAATGTAGAAATCCTTTGAATTCCATTAAATTCCTTTGATTGACGATTTCACCATTCCACTGGTGATATCCCAAAGATTCTAATTCTTTCCATCCAACCAAACGCCTAGTCAAATTCCATTCCAATCCCTTCAAAATCAAACGCCCCATTTAGAATCCTTCCACTACAAGTCTAAAAAAATCTGCCTAAGTTCATGAATTTATCTTTCCCTATGTGAATTGTCTGCCTTGGTGGTGGTAACTGATGACTTTTGTTAATTGTTTGCAGAAGCATACCAACATTTTCTACTTGGCTTCATCAATCTTGATTCTGATGCTGCTCCCTCTCTTCTATCTCATAGTATTTTTGTACCAAAGGTGCCCACATATGTAAAGTCACATTTCTTACTTCTCGTCTATATTTCGATTCAACCTACAATATAACCGATCTTTATGTTGCAGAGAAATGAGAAAGGGGACACAGGTACTAAGACGCATCTCAAAACCGAGTCTAAAGAAAAAGCCATCTTAGTTGGTAAGTTTTGAGATATTATTACTTGGTACAAGATTGCTCAGTTATAGAAAACAATTTTTATGTTCTTTTCCACATCGCCTACTAACTGTGAACATCTAATAATTTCATAGAACATTCCTTAAGAAAGTAATTACCCATATTTACCCTTACTAGGGGGTGTTTGGTTGGTATTTTATTAAGTCCTGTATGGATAAGGTTGTCCTTGTGAATTAATCTGTCTGTATGGATTGCAAAGGTTATATGTTCGGGAGGGTTTTTTCGTAGATGGAAGGAGTGTTTTTTTCAACTCGGAGGGACAAGTTTGGAAAAAAAAACTTGGCATTCTGCATAAAGCTCCTCTTAGAAGCTTACCGAGTAAGCTACTTTCTATTATTAAGTCACTACCAAACAGTTATGTATAGCTGACTGAATAAGCTAATTAAGCTGCTAACAAACATGTCCTTAGTCGTTTCTACATGATTTTAGGCCACAAAATTGTTGCAGTTGCATGTGCAACACGTACATCATAACCGTATTAATCTTTTCTCAAGTCATCTGAAGTAGTCGTGGTATGGATAGAGCAATAAAGTTTCGACATCCTTTTGATGTTACAGGTGAAGCTCGTGGATCATATGGCATCGTTCAGAAAGATTAGTGACGTGCCATTGTAGAATTATCTTGTGATACACTTTCATTTCGAGTACTGCATCAATTTCGTGAGAGCATTCAATTCTTGAAGATTTGTACCATTAGACAACTGTCGGAAATTACAGGTGTGCCCCTATTTTTCGAAATCTTAGCTCTCGTATCTTGTATTACTAACTAGGATGTGAAATATCACCAACCATTTGATCTCATCTTTAGCATTGCATTCCATATACTCCCAAAATTGTTTACTGTTAGAAAGGCAGACCTTATTCCGGGGTAAAAATGACCTAATCCGTGACGTATAATTCTGCTCCGACCGTAACATTATCTTCTGGATTTGGTCATTCTTCATTTGATAAAAATGTGTTGCATAAGGCTTGGATCAGGCTTTTTGAGGGTGCGTTTGGTACATGGACTGGACTGGATCAGAGGGACGAGAGTGAAAGAGTTCTGGGAAGGTTTTAGGGTTTTAGTTTGACATGAGTAGTTTATTAATATACCAATCTTGTCCCATCTGGTTGATTTTTGTTCCTTTCATTTTGGTGGGATAGAAAAGAAATGCATTTTTGTTCGAGGTCTTGTCATGTCCTAAATCCTAATCTAATGTTGGGCTGAATGTGGAAAAGTTTTTGTATTGTGAGGGTGCGTTTGGTACGAGGACCGGACCGGAAGAGAGAGGGAGAGAGAGTTCTGGAAGGTTTTAGGGTTTTAGTTTGACATGGGTAGTTTAGTAATTTACCAATTTTGTCCTATCTACTTGTTTTTTGTTCCATCTATCTTGGTGGGATAGAAAAGAAAGGCATTTTTTTGTCCCATGTCTTGTCCTGTCCTGATATAATATTTGGTTGAACATCGGAAAAGTTTTTGTACTGTGTGGGATTGTTGGTCAATACATTACTATGCCAAATTTAGAGACCCTTAGACCACCAACGTTCGAGTAGGACATGATCGGATTGGTTCTTATTCCTTGGAAGTTGGCTTGGACCAAATTGGTCGTTGTTGAGTGAGGTAGGGTATTGGGAGAATAAGGTATTTGTAGACCTTACTTTTGCTCTTGGCTTGCAAAAAGGTTATGTGAAGGGTTTTTGGAGTCCGTTTGGTTTGCAGGATTTCTACGGAATATGAAGGAATTGGAATGTTCAAATTCCATTGATCAAATTTCATTAAAATGCTTGGTTTGCAGATGAAATGGAATTGGAATTCCATAGATTCCATTGTTCACAGATTTCATTGTTCTACCACATATACGATTTAAATTTCATTTGTAACTATTTTTCAAAAAAAACGACAAATTGCCTCAAAAACCCTAACCTACTATATACATGGCCGCCACCGCCCTTTACTCGCCGGCCACACTAACCTCACCATTGCCGCTATCGTCAATTAATATTATCAGTATTTTTATCTTTTATATAGTATTATAATTTAAGCAAGAAATTATGAAAATTTAATAAACGAGTATCTTGGTCATCTATTATCATTTCATTCCAATTCCGAAACTATAATCTGTCAATCAAACATGGATATTCCAATTCATTTGAGAGATTCTGTTGCAATTCTTGCCAACCAAACATGTGGTTGAACTTTACTGAATTCAATTCCAATTTCATCAGATTCTATTTTTCATTTATCGGTATTTTCAGTAACTATCAATAACCAATATATAATATAGTTGATTAATTTTAATGGTTTCTTAGCATTTCCCCCCTTTAAATACGAATTGTTATACGTTGTTTAAAAAAAAGATAATTATACATGTATTTTGAACTTAAAATGTTCTTTACATTTACAGTATTTTATTGTGAAGTTTCGAGTGTAAAAAAATAGTCTTACGGGTCTTACAAAAACATACTGGTTTTATGTGAACCTAACTCTATATATATATATATATATATATATATATATATATATATTATATGCATCTTACCAACTCGTTATCACTATTGGATTACTTGAATTGCAAAAAAAGGAAACAATTTTAATGGAAATTGAATTGAATTCATTATCTTTCACAATCAAGATGTTTGATCAACAATTGTTGGGTTAGATCACCTATATCACCAATTTAATGCAATGAGCAAACAAAATATGATATGATCTGATATATATATATATACGATCAGAAATGTCTTCAGAGATTGATCTAGGTCCGTTGTTGCTACTGATCTTAGTTTCCATTGTTTACGTGGGAGCTCAAGAGTTGATCGATCGAAATTATAGTTGGTTTTCATGTTCAAATGTTATGCTGATGTGTCTACTCTTCTTCTTGATCAGTTGTCCTGGTTCATTCTTTTTAGTTGCTTACAGCGGCGTCATCCTCTGTTTTGCAGTTTGTTTGTATTACTTCGATCATCTTTGAACTTGCTTGATCGTCTTGGTTATGTAATCTTGCTCAAACTCTATAAAATTTATTTAACTCTCTTCATTATCATCCCGTATTTTGTTCTTGAGCGCGTTAGGGTTATGAGAAAAACGAAATCATTTATTTGATTCTCGTAATCTAATTATATGCCATTTTATTCCTTATCTTTAGAGCATCTCCAAGAGGTAGGGGTGTGCAAAACTTGAATGGTCCAAAATCCGACACGAACTGAAAATAAGGTATTTATCCAAAACCCGGATGCCCGAAATCCCCAAACCCGAAAACCGACTTTTGGGGAAATTTGGGTTCGGTTTGGGTTTGGGTTTGATTTTTGTCCTAGTCGATTGTGCTTTTTTCTAATTTCTAAGTATACAATCGATTTATCAATCTTCTAAATCGATTGAATTTATCCTCAAAATTAATTGAATTCATCCTCAAAATCGATTGAATATATATCTTTTTTGCATTATAACTAAACCCGAACGACCTCAACTTGACCAACCGAACCAGAAGCAATCCGAAATCCGAAACCCAGAATCGGGACTTGATTTCCAAATATGAAATCCGATCCGCCTTTTGATTTCTCCACCTGAACCCGCCCAATACACACCCCTACCAACATGTATGCCATATGTTTTTTCAAATTTAGATATTTCTCCATTCTTTTTTTTTTATTTTAGGAGAGAGTTTAACACATTCTTCAAAAAAAAATTCAAATTGCAGAATCATAATTCAAAAGCCTGGAGATCATAACATCAACATGATAATCGGTTAATGCTTCAATCAGTTACCCAAGTACTTAAATATTTAAAACTTTACATCTTAAGTACCAACATGAAAGTTTTGAAAGTATCTTACCCAAAATACGAATGAAATATTAAATTACACAACTACCCTTGTTACAACCAACAAATTTTTTGTTCTGATTTTGATTTTAATAATAATTATTTTGAAAAAAAAAGTATTTTTATATTTATATTAATAATTTCGATTATAAAATACATAAAAAGTTTTGAGTAATGATTAGGTTTTATTTATCAAAAGATGAACCCTAATTGCATACTTTGAGAAAAAAATTTCGTATTTTCTTACCGCATGCTATTAACATATTATTTTTTATTTTAAATAATATTTGAAATATTGTCTTAAAAACATCAAATTATATTAAAAAATAAAATAAAATGAAAAAATAGAAGTTAAATGAACGTGTCCCCATAAAGCTTTTACTACCGAACCCTCCGAGTCTAATCACAACCCATTTTGCATGCGCATTTATTCACCATACATCAATTTTTTTATAATAAACTACAAATATGGTCCTTATAGTTTGTAAAAGATAACACTTTTTATCCCTACAGTTTAAAATTTATAAGATAGTCATCATGGTTTGTTAAAACGTTCAGGTTTGATGCTTTTTTGTAATGTCTATTAAAAACTTCCATTAAATAAGTACTTTCGTCTATGACGTGTAGCTCAATTGGGAAAGAGGTGAAGTGGGTTTATCCAAATACAGAATAGGTCTTGGTTTCGATCGCAAGATTCCTGCTAGCCTTACCTACTCAGGGAGCTAAAAAATGTCTCATCATACTGGTGTCCTTGAAGATGGTCATGTGTTGGACCGGTTGAGATTGTCGGTAATCAACTTTTTGTCTAAATCAGGACTATTTTTATATTTTTATGAATTTTTTAATCATTTATCAATCGAAAACCACGTGGACCAAATCATAAAATTGATTTTGATTGGTTAAAGGATAAAAAATCGATGAAGGGACGAAAAGGACCCTCATTTAGCGGAAATTTTAACGGTTGTGAGAGAGATGAATCAAATCCAGACTTTTTGGAAATCACGATAGCCATCTTGTAGTTTCAAAACTGTAAGCACAAAAAATATTGTTTTCGTACACTATATGGACCAGATTTGTAGTTTGCTCAGAAAACAATTTAAAACTAAATTAGAGAAAAATACATAAGAACCCAAATGACTTTTTGATTTTGTTTCGTTATGACCGTTTACCCAAATACTTCCCGATAAAATTCAACACCATCATTTACCTTATCTAGTAACATTATAGTCCATCAAAGCGGCAACAATTTACTCGATAAACACTAATATGATAAGAGTCATCACTCTCACTTACCTCAGTCCTTGCCATTGCTCGTTATCGGATAAAATTCTTGGTCATCGACATGTTAATTCAACAGAGTAAGTGAGGCGGTAAGTGGTTTATCGGGTAAACGCTTAGTAAACGCCCCTTAAATGTTTTTTTAACAAATAAATTGTTGGACTTATCAAAACCGATTAAATACATCTTTTGACCTATAAAAACAATTAATGTGGTAAAATAATGGGGAATATCAAGATTTTAAACATTAGGAATATTTATCTTCTCGATAAAAAAAATTAAAAACAAACCCTAAAATCTAAATCAAAACATAAATCAAGTGGAGTACAATGCTAACCACAAGGAAACGATATAATCCCCTGTCCTTATTCATCACACTATAATTTTTTATACTACGACGGATAAATAAAATAGTGACATGTGTCACCGTATTCAACAGAATGGGTCTGTTCATGCAATGCCCTAATAAAAATAATATGGAAATACATTGTTGTAATAAGAAAAAAGTAAAAGTACATTGCTATAATAAAGAAATTTATAAAAATATGTTGTTATTTTGATTTTCTTATCTTAAAAAGATTAACATAAAGAAAAATGGCAAAAATTCTAGTATCCACTCGAGTTTACTCACGAAACCGGTTACAAGTCAAAAAAATTTATTTAATTGGTTTTAAACAGTTTAGAACTGATTTGTTTAAAAAGACTGTTTAGAAACTTAATCATTCAAAATCGAAAATTCATAAAGTTATTAAATTAATTTAATATTTCATAAGTGTTATTATATTTTATTTAAGTTTGTTTTATACAAACTTAATTAATAATTTAAATTTTATATATAATAAATTTGAATTAATGTGAGTTTCTTTAATCATACGATAACCAATATATGAAAACTGGTTTACGGGTTCATGTAATTTATTACGTACAACTTATATTTCATACTTTTTCTTCATCAGACCACTCATATTTTGTACTTCTTATCACTCAGATACCAGTAATATAAGAAGGGGTATAAATAAAACCGACATTTTTCAAGTTTTTTTTATTAACCTAGATATTCAACCCGCTATATGAGCCGACTAATCCCAGAAAGACCACCCGCTTTGCAGGTAGCCTGAAGTCACTGTATTTGAACCTCCATGACCACAAGGGATTTTTATTTCTCATTGAATTCGAACCAGAGATCTCTAGACACTTTTGACCTTTGGAGCTCAAGCTCAAACCAATCGAACGCTATCCTTATGGTTGAAATTTTGTATTCTTAAACTCGTTATCACTCAAATACCACTAATATAGAAGGGGATATAAATAAAATCGACTTTTTTTATATCCTTAGTTTTAAATAGTTGAGTGGGTTTGGCTCAAAACAGAGAGGGAACATGTTTGGTGGAATACATGGCTTTGAATACAATGATAATAACAAGTTGGACAAGTACAACAACATACATATAAAGTCATTTTTAACCTCTTAACCTTATTTTATTTTCAAAAATAAAATAAAATAAATTTATATTATATTATAAAATATTTGATAGAAATTTTTAAAAATCATTTTTATGTCTGAAGTACTGTTTATTGATGTATATTACTTAAAATTCAAGATTACAAATAAATTGTGTATAAGTATAACTTATTAAAGCTTTATGTTTAAAATAGTATAACTAATTGTGGATAAACATAATCAAATAAAAGATAAATATTTTATTTATCTTATTTTAAAATATAAAAAATTTAAAATATAATTAAGATAATTATTGAATTATAATAAAATATTTAATAAATCCCAAACACCGGTTGTCATGCATCATGTATAAAAGAGGCAAAGCAAATAAGGCAACAAAAGCTACAGAGAGAGAGAGAGAGAGAGAAATGGAAGGAGGAGAGTTGTATTCAAGATTCAAAAATGGCGTTTCTTCAAAACTTGGGAATCCATGGCAGAACCTGCAAAATAACTTGAATCATTCCATTTCCAACACCAAAATCGGCAAATACTTTAAATTAGACGCCAGGAAAACCTCTTTCACCAAAGAACTCCGGGCCGCCACCGCCACCTTCCTCACCATGGCCTATATCATCACCGTCAACGCTACCATCCTAGCTGATTCCGGCGGCACTTGCTCCGTTTCCGACTGCACACCACCACCACCACCACCACCATCCAACCAATCAGCGGCGGTTGCTTTTGCCGACGATTGCAAGTTCAAACCCAACGTAGGTTATGAAAACTGCCTTTCCAAGACTAAAAATGACCTTATCGCCGCCACCGTTTGGTCGTCGATGATCGGTTCCTTAGCCATGGGTGGTCTCGCCAACCTGCCGCTGGCACTGGCTCCCGGAATGGGACCGAACGCTTACTTGGCCTACAACTTAGTCGGGTTTCATGGGTCGGGTTCCATTTCGTATCGGACCGCGATGGCTATCGTCTTGGTTGAAGCTTGCATCTTTCTAACAATCGCGGCTCTAGGACTCCGAGCCAAGCTAGCACGGCTCATACCTCGATCGGTCCGGTTAGCTTGTGCGGCTGGGATCGGTCTTTTTATAGCATTCGTCGGTTTGCAATCTAACCAGGGTGTTGGATTGGTAGGGCCCGATCCCGACACCCTGGTGACGTTAGCCGCATGCACCGGTAAAAACACAGTGACCGGAGTATGTACCGGTGGGATCATGCAGAGCCCGACGTTTTGGTTGGGTTTTGCCGGGTTCTTGATCACGTGTTATGGGTTAATGAAGGATGTTAAAGGAAGCATGATTTATGGTATCGTGTTTGTGACGTTAACGTCTTGGATTAGGCACACGTCCGTAACGGTTTTTCCCGACACCCCTGACGGTGACACGAAATACCGTTACTTCAAAAAAGTGGTCGATTTTCACAAAATCGAGTCCACTCTGGGCGTAATCAGCTTCACCGGTTTTAACACCAGTGAAGTCTGGGTTGCCCTATTTACGTTATTGTATGTAGACGTACTGGCGACCACCAGCACGCTATACACGATGGCGGAACTTGGAGGCTTTGCGGATCAAAAAGGCAGTTTCGAAGGAGAGTACATGGCGTACTTGGTCGATGCAGGGACCTCGATTGTGGGGTCCACACTCGGGGTCTCTCCAATCTCCACGTACGTCGAATCCTCTGCTGGGATTCGAGAAGGTGGACGGTCAGGATTGACCGCCATCATTGTTGGTTTCTATTTCTTTTTGTCGATATTTTTTATTCCACTGTTTAGCAGTGTGCCGCCGTGGGCCATTGGCCCGTCTTTAGTGATGGTCGGGGTGATGATGATGAAGGTGATCAAAGATATCGATTGGAACGACGTTAAAGAAGCTGTGCCTGCATTCGTCACCATTTTACTGATGCCGTTAACATACTCGATTTCAAACGGGATTATCGGAGGAATCGGGATGCACGTTGCCCTTAGCTTGTATGATTACGGAGTTTGGTGGTTCAAATGGTTGATCAAGATGAAGAAAAGGGTTTCAAGAGAACAAAATCAAGTTTCGGCCACCGTTGCAGCCGATCGAATCGTCGAGATCTTGTAAATATGTTCGGTAGCGGATCTCCGATTCTCGCTCATCGTCTTTTTGTTGAGTCTAGTTTTAAGTTATTAAGACATGTCTTGAAAAACGGCAAAAGATGCACGGGCTACCACGAGAAAGTTTTTCTTTGGCCGTTCGTGCATCTTTTGACAATGTAGTTTAGCCTATTTCGACGTTTACGTTTTCGTGTGTCTCGTTTGTGATTGACTCATAAGTTTATGAGGTTATGTTTTACAAATTAGTTGATAAGTTAACTCTTAGCAAAAAAAATTAGTTGTTAGATCATAAGCTCGTTGATAAATCTAGAAGTTAGTTGATAAACTAGATGACAATATAAAATGACATAGAAGGACATGTTTACGAGAGCTTTTCATAGATGGAAGAAACATGTTTTTTAATTGAAATTGATAGGCTTGGAAAAAACTTGACTTTCTGCATAAAATCCTTATAAAGTAATTTTTTAAACTTGGAAAAAAACTTGACTTTAGATGTTTAATGAAAGTAATGTTTTAAACTTGAGGGAAGTAATTGTACAAAGCTCAAAGTATAGGGGTATTCCTTAAATTATTCATTTACAAGTCTACCAAGATTTTGAGGGTGGGACACGTGCAGATGGAAAGAAACAAGTCTCCTACAAATGGCAACTCATGTCGATTCATCGTTTCATTTTTTAATGTAACTACCGTTAGATATAGTTATGCGATGATCAAAATTCAATTTTTAAAAAATATATATAAACTTCGACTCTATGAAAGTGTAATGTGTTTGAAAATTCGGGATCGTATTTATATTTATAACGTCTTCTTTAATATTGTAAATCACGATTTGGAGAATACTAACATCAGATGAAAACTTATATATATATATATATATATATATATATATATAGATAGATAGATAGAGAGAGAGAGGTGAATTATTATACAACCCTTTACATTTGTACAACCAATACAACACAATCTCAACCGTCCATTGAATTTGATGAATATGTAATTTCATAAAAATTTTGATTGTTTCATAATATAAAATATTGATCATAATTAATTAACATTATTCATCTTCCATAAATATTTAAATCATAATAAATGAACTCTCRTCATTTCAATAAATATTTCAATTTATTGGGTTGCATTGGTTGTACAAATGTGATGAGTTGCATTTAAAACAAACTTTCTCTCTCTCTCTCTCTCTCTCTCTATATATATATATATATATATATATATATATATATTGGGTTCAATCCCGTGTATATATTTTAGTCTACCAAAACGACATCGTGTGAAACAATTTATCCGGTAAGCACTAACCGTGGTAAGAGTCCTCGTCATCACTTACCAAATAAGATTCTTGGTCCTTGCTTTCGCTCTTACTAGGTAAGATTATTGGTTCTTGCCATATTCATCCGGTAAAGAAATGTGACTTAATAAGCGCTATCCGAATAAGAATTTGTAAACTACCCCAGCCTAGAAGACGCTAGACAAGAATCTATAAAACTTTAACTTTATTATCGATCCGCCATGTTGCATCTTCTTCTAATGTTTAAAGATTCAAAGAAAAAGAAAATTACAAAATAAATGAAAAAGAAAACTAAATCTAATGTAAATAAAAGGAGAAGTTTGGGATTGCTTATTTGAAACAACTTATACTTTTATACAAAAATGCTTATCAACTTATTATAAGTGCTTATTTTATTACGTTTTACCTTTTTTTAATTTAGTTACTTCTTCGCAAAATGTCCGGTCTTTCGCTTGTGACGGCTAAAGTCTGACACGAACCTAAACGAGCGTCCACACCCTTCTGTCGTACAAGTATACGGGCGTGCACCCGTGTGGACCCTAACGTGTTCGGTGCGAGCCCATGCCCATTTGAACGTCACTTGGCAACCTTTCCACGGGCACTTGAAAGGACGATCGTCCATATGTACACGCTTATGCTGCATAAGATACTTGTGGGAAAATAATTTCTTCCCGCATCCCTTTTCCGGACACACATTCTTTTTGTGAGCCATAAGATCTTTTCGGTTGTCGAAACTCATGATGCAACCCTCAATATCACAACCAAATTCACCCTCCTCTGATTCCACCGCTTTCTTGGTCCTAAGGGTTCTCGTACGCTGCCGCCTAAAACCACCACTCAACGACAAGTTGCCTAGCGGAGATGATGGTGGTGGTGGTGGTGATGACTGCATTGTAGTGAACTTCATTGGCTTACTTATTGTCATATTCTTTCTTTTCCTTTTCCTTAGATTCTTGATAACTACAACTTGGGTGATTTCGGGTCGTTTTTCAAGTTTCGCATCCATTCTTGAAAAACCCGAAACATCAGTTTTATCGCGTTCTTGATGTTCAACATCACGTACGACTAGCAACGGATGAACCTCATTCGACATCCATACCTTCCCACACCATTTTCCTACCACGGTGATCTTTTTATGCTTGCTCGATGGCTTAGAGCTTACTGGGTCACTAGATGGAGAACCGTTTACGAATGCTTTACAGATAACGGAATTGTAAGGCATCTGTTTGCGATAGAGCGGAGAACGACTAAGTTTGCAACTATGGAAAAGATCAAGCCCCAGTCTTGCAGCCCAATCATGGTTGCAATGTGTGGCTTCTTGTTTATGTAGAGCTGATTGAATCATCTGTTTATCATGTTTGGTAGCCTCTTTAAATTCAAGATCTGTCCAGATATGATCAGTTCCAAACTCTTTTTCCACTAATCTTGCTTCTGTTTCTAGCTTGGGATATTCTGCAAGATGCACCATCATTTTGTTAACTAAGTAGACAGTATTAACTTTACAAACTCATCTGAATCGTTCATTTTTTGAACACCTTCATTTTACGAGAATGCGAGAACACTCTTTTACTATAGACAATCACATGTGATACTATTATTCCATCACATATGATACACATGAGACCGCGAGTGATTTTAGATGCGATCTTGGTTGCGGGCCAAGTCGTCCTTACACCACTAAGCCCCCTCACAAGTATTATCACATGTGATAAGGGTGTTGTTGATATTGATGCTATAATCTTGATAGACTATCACATGTGATGCTAAATCATAGACGGTGACAACTTTTGGCGTGGTCTAAGTCGTAGAACACGTGTCCGTATCACATGTGATAAGGGTGTTCTCTCATTCTCGTAAAATTGAGGTATTCTCGTTTGAACTTCCACCTCTCTCTATATATGTGTGTGCACGGTTAGATTCTGATGAGAATAGAAGTTATGGTAAGAAACGCTAGAAGAGATCACCACCTTATCAACCTAATTGAATGTCAACACTGATGAGGTGCACCAAGATGCACCAGATCAATCTTTTCTAACATGCAATTCATGAGTAGGTATGAGATTATAATTGATCAATGATTCAAATCTCTTCTTACGATTCTAATGATAACTTCACTTCTCACACAATTCTTTGTCTATATATATATATATATATATACATATATATATATACATATATATATATATACATATATATATATACATATATAGGGGCTCATTCAAGGGAGAACTGATTAGTTTGTGGTAACTTGAGATCCAATCTCAACCACAAATCAACGGATAAATTAGGAAATTAATAATTATGTTAATTTGAGTTAAAATTATAATTAGAGGGCATTTTAGGTATTTTTAAAAAACTCACTCTCCTCTCTCCTCTCTCATCTCTCCGGCCTCCGGTGAATATTAATCCGGCAGGTACCAAGTAATCACAAAGATACACAATGTGATACTCATTGTGATATATTGTGCTACCATTGTGATAACAACTATGATACCAACCCAAACCTTAAAAAAATATACACAATGTGATACCCATTGTGATATGCTGTGATACCGATTTCACCGGAGGCCGGAGATTGGAGGTCTGAGAGAGGAGAGAAGAGTTTTTTAAAAATACCTAATATGCCCTCTAATTATAATTTTAACTCAAACTACCATAATTATTAATTTCCTAATTTATCCGTTGATTTGTGGTTGAGATTAGACCTCACAGTTACCACAAACTACAACCACAAATTATTCAGTTCTCATTTGATTAGACCCATATATATATCCATTAATCAATTAATAAGTTGTTTTGTAGTTTTTCATTTATTCAGAGTTTTCCTTTGCACCTCCTTCTCTATGTATATAAGGTCAGATTAAGAGGAAAATGCTAAATAAATAAAAAAAACCATGAAAAAACGCTTGAAAAAGTATATCAATATGAATATCAAATTAATGAAAAAATATAATCGTTTCTTTGGTGTAATTTATTTCGCTCGAATTTTGTTTACTTTTCGTCTTTTTCTGAATCAAAAATAAGGGGGGGGGGGATCAAGGTTTTCAATTTAAAATTTAAATATATTGTTGTAACATTTAATCATATCCATTAAATCAATTAATCCAACGGTTGATAAATTGTTTTTTAAATTTTCATTTATTTAGAGTTTTCCTTAAATCTCCATATATACCCTATATATATACCCTATATATATATATATATATATATATATAGGGGCTTAGTCATTTGAAAAATTCATATATTGTGATAAACGCGAGAACTTTTATCTTAAGATAGTGTTTCACATGATTTATTTCTCATCTAAGACTAACATTTAATGTATTGCTAAACATATATTTGTCTCACAATGTGTTTGTTAATTTTACATGTATGCGGTTTGCATTATGGAACTTTTTACTTCTAAGTTTTGTTTCACAAATAGACTAAAAAGATTCAAATTGTGAAACAAATATATGTTAATCAATATTCTAAATCCTAGTATTAGATGAAAAAAATCATATAAAATAGCATATAATGCACCAATTCTCAAAGATATCCCCCTATATGTGTGTGTGTCTCTTTTATTTAAGAAATATGTTGATGGTAATACAAATGAAAACCGTAAATATTTTGAGATCTTGGGAATTAACTATTCACGTATTATTCATGATGAATGTCATAGTAAAATATTCATCACAAAAATTATTCATAATGAAAATACATGATTCTTCAGCGTCATTCATCATAAATAATACACAAAATAGTTGGTTCCCGGTTCTCAAAAACGTACCTTGACGACAGAGTAGCAAGATACGAACTCCACCGATCCGTCGAAGGCATTGCTCTACTTCGGCAGCATGTTGAAGACAAAAGATGTGCATTCTCGAAGTATCGTCATCGCGTGTTGGATTCATCTGCGTGTTCCCAGCTTGTGTTATCGACTTGCCAATGATCAACGCTTCAGATTCATTTGCATTCGATGAAGGTTTCCTCTCGGAATGAGGCACTTGTATTTGATACTCAAATCGACCCATTGAACAATTCGATTCCATGAAGAATCTGTTGCATTTTGAGCGAACAAAATTGGCGATTCGATAACTAGATTCCCCAATCTTAACTCTACCATCAACACGATCTCCGTTATAGTTGGTTGTTGTACCATCGTCGCTAATGTTTAGCGAAACATTGCTAGAATAATTTACACGAATGTCGCTCTCAGAATCCGAATGATCGCCATACGCTAAAGCCAAAAGATCGAGTGCTGAATTGACTTTCGGTGATCCAGTAGCTGAAATCGTATTCGTGTTATTATCTACAACTTGAATTTGGTAACCCGATCGGTAAAGGAGTAACATGATGAACAATGGTATACCTGAAGAGGGTTTCAGATCCACCAAATTTGCATCTTCGTTGGCAGCGAAGACGTCGGTAGCAGCAACTAGATCGGTAATCGCTCTACAATCAACCGACATGAGGTAACGTGCAGTTGCTTCTGTTGGTTGAATAATTGCAACACAAGCGTAGCACAAAATACCGCATCTAACACATGAAAATAAACCACGGGTGGGAAGCATCGGACTTACATTCAACTGAGATCCAAAACACGAATCTTTGGAAGTCGAACTGTATAAAGCATCTTCGTGAAGAACAACAATCGGAGATCCTTTCCCGAGAGTGTGAAGCAGCTCGTTGTTTTGCATCATGTCGTGCAAGAAAAGTCGTTTTACCAAGAATTCTCCTTCAGCCATTAACATGTCTTTTGATCGCGAACTACGGGGTTGAGGCTTGATGCTTGTTCGTACACTGTTGAAAGGAGTGAAGCAAAAAGTTGTAAGCATTTCTCATGTCCGGATAGGACAAGTAATAAGGAACGGAATCAGCTATTTCATGAGTTATTCATAATGGATACTAACTCCAAAATATTCATGAATATTATTCATAATGAATAGTTGATTCTTAGTTTCTTAAAATATTTACGGTTCTCGTTTGAACGTGTCACTAGTTAGAGAACGAACCTTGCAGATAGTGATACAGCTAGATCATACAGCAGCTGAAAGTGCGACACCATGGGTGCGGAGTTAACAGAAGCTCGTCGAATTGCAGCATCTCGTGCAACTCTCAGCCATCCAGGGGTTGCAATATTAGCTGCTTCCGCACAGTTGAACCCTATATGGAAAAATCATACAAATACGCCCGATGTTTGCTAATAAGTTTCTTATAGACGAGAGAAAGAAACATGAACGTTAGGAGAAGCAGGCGAAAGATCGTGTGAGAAAGAGAGTTAAGGTAAAAAGAAGCGTAAGATGAAATCTCGACCCTTGATCACACCTTAAATCTCAAACCAAAGGTGAAGGTCTCTTCTTACGCTTCTCACTTTTAACTCTCCTTCTCACTGGAACCCAAGTGTGGAAGTAATGGTGTTTTACCATGACTGAAGCCTGAGTGATAAGCTCTAGGAAAGGTGACAACAAATTCTCCAGCCTTTTGCACCAACCTATTTAAAAAGCAACATAGTGAGCTTTCAGATATACTGATTAATCCAAACCGGTACATCCCACTCCATCCAGATCCTGGTTTAGGGTTTAGGGTTTAGGCATTAGCTATTGCATAAGTCGGGTGTCTTCTCAGAATCATCAACATTACCATTTCGAGATAGAGATCAGGATTGCGTACATCCAACCCCTCTTAGACTCCGTTTTAGAGTGGAAAATACTGGGTTTGTTTGGTTTGACTGATTCAAACTAGACACGAATAGAGAGAATAGGTCGATCAAGGTATCACCTGCAGCAAGGAACCCCCGCCTTAAGCAGCACGTCTGGGGACATAACCGTGGTCTTCTCTCCTAGAGTAGCAAAAGTTACTGAAAATAACACGAAGAAACTCGAGCTCAAAAATACGAATCAAATGTATAAGATTATCTAAATCGTTATAAATGAAACTATCGGGTAAGGCTTTAATCCACCAAAATGGTATCAAATACAACAATTTACCTGTTAAGCTTTAATCCTGGTAAGAGCCATCATTCTTACTTACCGGGTAAGATTCTCGGTACTTACCTTTGCTCTTACCCAGTAAGATTCTTATTACTTACCAAGTTACCATATTCATCTGATAACGTTATGTTACTTGATAAACGCTTATTCGGGTAAGAGTTTGGTAAATTGCCCCTAAGTGTTTTGTTGACACGAAGTGAAATATAACGTGTTAAATGAATTTATATTATAAAACATTTGACAAAAACTCTTAAAAACCATATTTTATGCATAATGTACTGTATATTGATGCATATTATTTAAAATTCAAGATTACAAGTAAATTATGCATAAGTACAACTTATTAAAGCTCCATGTTTGAATTCGTGTAACTAACTACGGATAAACATAATCAAATAGAGGATAAACATCTCATTTTAAAATATACATAATCTAAAATATAATTAAGAAAATTATCGAGTTCTAACAAAATAATTAATTAGTATTTTTATAAGAAAATTATATTATTAAACCAAATATAAATTACTTCGTTATTGTACCTAAATTAAATTATAATAAAAAATGAATCAAAAAATTCCACAAAAAATAAGAATTTTAAATAGTTAATTTGATAGTAATATCGATATATTTTTGTCAAATTTTTAATGATATTTTTAAATTTATATTTTATTCAAAAATAAAAATGTTATCACTTTTTCAAAATCACGTAAGATCATACTATAACATCGACGAAGATAAAAAACAAAATAAAATATTAAAATCAAAATGTATATCGCAACAAGTAGCTTCTCTTATATATTAATACAATAGAAAAAAAAAAGGAGGAAAACCACGAAACTCACAGATTGGATTAATCTCTCCGCCATAGCCATGATCTCTGATCACATCTTCAAACACAACAGCAGCGTCTTTGGGTACTCCATACCAAGTCTTCCCAGCACCCATATGCATATAATTCAAGCTATGGAACTCATGATCTTCAACATGCCAAGCGAACCAGCTAAACATCATAGCCATATAAACCATTGGTGACGTCACACCAGGTATTTCCTCCTTCACGAACTTCAATAGAGACCCTTTAGCCCTTGAAACCTCTCTCATATTCCACCCAGTCTCCCCCACCGTCAATCCGTCGCCAATCTCCTTTATCCCCTGTTTCTTTCCACCACACCCACCACCTGTTTGATGAAATGCCGAGCCGGGAATGTCATTTGCATATTCGATCAAAAACGGTTTGTCCATTTGAGCTTTCCAGTAAAGGGTCTCCATCTCCAATGCCGTGAAACCCTTCTTCGAATTCGATCCCTTTTTCATGTAATTTTTCTCGAAATTTTTGGCTTTGGCTTCGAATTGTGGGAGAGTGTAGGTCTCGCCGCTCTGCCAAACGGATTTGTGGACCGGTCGGCGGTGTCTACGTGGGCAAAAACCGATCTGCTGCTGTCTGGTGGTGAATGTAGGTGAAGAATCAGGGTTTTGGGCGGACAGAGACTGGTTCAGGTTCGCAATTGTGGTTTTCTTCGGCGAAGCAGAGACAGGTGGCACGATTTTACAGATTCCATACTTCGAAGCTTCGTCTTCGATCTTGAAAATATACCCAATTGGATCTTGAAACTCGGTTAGGGTTGGATGGTACTCTGGTGCTAGCGGCAGAGACTTCAACCATGGGAAAACCTCGTCTGCCATCAAATCAAGAATCACCACAACTCACACACAGTCGGTTTCGACGATAAGCATTACGATAGTGTAAAAGAGATCTTTGAAGCTCGATCAATGGAGGTTTACGGGAAATGGCGAAAGAGAAAACAGAGAGAAGAAGGGGAAAACAGAGGAAATGGTGAAAACAGGGGAAGAGGAAGGGGGTTTAATGGTGGGTTTGAGAGAAACCCCCTTAAAAAATGTTGGGTTCTTTTCCGCGTTTGTAGCCACCGGGAGATTTATTTTAGAGTTGCGGTGAAATCTACATTAGGTTGCGATTTGTCATGGGATCAGTCTCGACGAACCCTCAGATCAGCAATTTTCAGAAGAAAAAAAAAAGACGGTGGTTTTTTGCTTGATTTGTGGTTTTTAGCGGTTATAATTTGAATTCGAGGATCGAATGAAGTCATCCATGAGGAAATTTGGATTCTTTCTGGATTACGTGTCTTGAAATTACGCATTTATAATCTTTTTTTTTTCTTTCAAGTAAGACTTCGAGAATTAAAGTTTCTTCGGTCCATGTTAAATGAACCGACTGATTGTGTGATAAGGTATGAATTGATAAAGATAAGGATGAGTCAAATCGGTTGGATTTATTTAGATGTTTGATATGGTTGCAACAAGATTTTTTTGAAAGATGTAATTACAGATCAAACTGTTGTAAATGTTTCTAGATTTTGATCATGTTCTGCAAACAGAGAAACGATGATGGGTTGCAAGACGGATTATGAACGTTTTGAAATCTTGATCCTGTTTTGTAAACAGAGAAACAGTTTTGTGTTGCAGAACAAATTAAGAACGTTTTTGAAATCTTGATCTTGTTCTGCGAAAAGAGAAACAATTACGTGTTGCAGAACAAATTATAAACGTTTTTGAAATTTTAATCATGTTGTAAAAACAGAGTAACAGTTAAGATATTTGAAAATATACAATTGTCAAAATGATATGAACATGTACGAATTTCTTCGTCTCAGATCATGTACGTGGTCATTCGAATTAGTTATGAAAGGTGTTTGCATGTTAACCACCACCGTATGAATTTCAAAATCTTGATTTGGCAGTGTTTTAAGGTTTTCTTTTACGGCGTTCAAATAGCGTGTTTTTTTTAATTAACCTGGATATCCAACCCGTTATGCGAGCCGACTAATCCCAGGACGACCACCTGCTTTACGGGTAGCCCGGAGTCACCACATTTGAATCTCTGTGGCCACAAGATGATTTTTATTCCTCCGTGTCTTTCTATCCATTTTTCTTGGATTTCTTTAGAAAAGTGATTAGTTCCTTATACGTGAAGGTTCAAAATAAAGGGTTGTGAACATTTTATCGAAGTGGGTTGTAAAATTGACGTACTGTTACATTCGCTTTTGTTTGATGGTTAGTTAATTAACTGCTTTCATAAACAGACATTAACGGTGGCACGGTCTTTTCTATAACCACCATGATTGTTTTGCGTGTAGATCAATTCCTTCCTTGCCTTGATTATTTATTTCTTTCCTTTACTGATTTCCATAAAAGCATTTTAAGCTTTCGCTTATCCGTTTGATTTCTTCATTCTTATTTAATCAAATTACCATCAAGTATACCGAAAATGTCCTGAATTATAGAATATTATCGTATGGTGTAATATATATTTTTGCACTAAAATGTAATACCCCCGAAATCTTCTATTATTTAATATGAGTTTTGGCCTTGTGTTCGACCTAAAGTGATGATCTATCAAGCCTAAATAACAGTTAGTTTCGTTTGACTTGGAATCTAGAAAAAGAAAACACAATGCGAAACAGGAGGTCCGACGACTTGGTGGGAGATCTCGAGTCGTCGCCCAATCGCGTGAAACACTGTTTGCGAGGCCAGGGACGTAGGTGACCTGCGCTGCGACTTAAGTTGCGGGAAGGGTGCAAGTGCGCATATAGGGCCGATTTTGGGTTATTTTCTTTCATTTTCTGGCCTAACTCAATTTCTTCCTCTCCCTTTTTCTTGATTTCCATGTTTTCTTCAGAACCTAGCATTGTGAGTTCATCCTACATTTTTCTAAAACTATATGATGTTAAAATATTATATTTTAGAGCGAATGATCTAATGAGAAGAGAAGTTATGGTAAGAAACATAAGAAAAGATCTGAACCATTGATCACTTTTGATCTCATGTTCACCCATGAATTGCAATCTAGATGAGAATTGATCTGGTACATTTTGGTACACCTCATTAGTGTTGACATTCAATTAGAATTAATCCAAGGGTGGATATCTCTTCTTACACTTCTCACCATAACTTTCTTTCTCACGAAACCCAACCCTATATTTTAGTTTCTTAAAGCTCCCATTTCGTGTATTTCATACTTTGTTGGTTTTCGACCATTTAGGTCAAATTTTGGGGGTTCGGGGGACTGTGTGCATTTTGATAAACTAAGTATGGGGAATGATTTTATATATTATACAGATTGTTATTTCAAAACTATGAAGGGTTTTGGAACCAAAATTTAGAAATAGTCTTATTAGGTATGTTGATAAAATGGGGATTCTACCCATTTGATAGCTATTTATACGCAAATGCTTATGTGTTTGGATATGGTTCGGCATATCTAGAAATTTATAATGTATTAGACGGTACTAAAATAAATCCATAGGCATAAGATTCGGTTTTACTGATATGAACATTCCGTAGTTGTACCTTGAAATATGCATTGGGCCTTCATAGGCAATATATTATGGCGTAGGCTCTTGAAGTCGGGAATCAACTACTGACTAATATGATGTAATTTCTAGTGAACGAGCTTAAACCATGATTCTTGAATATTTCAAGCTTTAGACCTAGAGTGGTTGAGCTTGATAACCCATTAAACTATAAACCTGGGGTACTTGAACTCAATGAATGTTGATTCGTAAGTGATTCTCATTAACATATACATGTGACCTACTTTTGTGTTCCGTCATTGTCAGGGGTAAATCGGGTCTCCCACGTCATCGCAAGATGTATTGTGCTTTCATGATGGCGAGAATGGTATTATTGTTAAACGGTTTGGCTAATCAAAATAAGGTAGTTGGTTTCGGTTATTTTTGTCCAATTTGGCTAAACCAAATGACCCAAAACCAATTAAACCAAACCTTATTTGGTTTGGTTATCGGATAGTTTGGAAAAAGTTGAAAAACGAAAGAACCAAAACCCGATTAAACCGACCAAATAAGACCACTAATATTTCCTCCCTAAAATGGCCTAAAAACCTACTTCCAATGTGTTAATAAATTAGAAACAACAGTTTAGTTTCATCTTTCACATGTTAAACATTACATTCCCTACCATCTTTTTACCTTTCCTGAACCTGTTTCTTCACAGAATGCCCTGTTTTCCGCTTATGTCGGCTAAAATCCGACACGAACCTGAACGTTTGTCCACACCCATCCTCGTTACAAACATATGGCCGTGCCCCTGTGTGCACCCTAATGTGTTCGGTCCGAGCCCATGCCCATTTGAACGTCATTTTGCACCCTTTCCACGGGCACTGCAATGGGCGGTCATCCATGTGGACCCGCCTATGCTGCACGAGATACTTATGAGAGAAGAATTTCTTCCCGCATCCCTTCACCGGGCACACGTTTCTTTTGTGAACCAGAAGTTCTTGTTTGCTGTCGAAACTCATATTGCAGCCCTCCATATCACAAGCAAATTCTCCATCTTCTTCTCTTGCTTCCATGGCAGGAGGAGGTTTCTTTGCTTTCTTGATGCCACTCTGCTTCTTGATCGCTTGCTTCGTTTCTATCTTGACTCCGAGTTCTTTTGATGGCGGTTTTATGATTCTTTTTCTTAATCTTGTGCTGGGCCCGCCATCCGTTTCTGATTCTCTCTCGGAATCCATGTCAAATTGTCTTGCTTTCTGATCAAGAATGTTTCTTGGGGTTGTTTCCTTTCTAATTTGCTTGTTTCTGAGGTTTGTCCTAGGCTGCCGCCTGAAACCGCCATTCAGTGTCGGCAAATCATCCACTGGCGGAGGTGGTGGTGCTGGTGCTGGTGATGACGATCGCTCTACTTTCGGGAACTTTGTCTTCACACTCATTCGCCTACTTTCTAAAACATTCTTCTTCCTCTTTCTTGCATTCTTACTAATCACCATTTGGGTGTTTTCAGATTGTCTTGCAGGTTTTACATCATCTTGTTCTTCGGGATCTCTTGCTACTAACAACGGATGCGCCTGATTCGACATCCATACTTTCCCGCACCATTTTCCCGCCACAACGATCTTTTTCTGCCTGCTGGAAGGCTTCGGTTTTGTAGGGCTACTAGATGGAGAATTATGTCCAAATGCATTATAAATAACGAAATTATATGGCATTTGCTTGCTGTAAAGAGGAGAGCGGCTAAGGCTAGCACTGTAGAAGAGATTAATCCCCAATTTTACAGCCCAGTCTCGGTTGCCATGGGTGGCTTCTTCGCTATCCAGAGCCGATTGTATCCACTCTTTGTCTTCTTGAATACCCTCTCTGAATCCGATATCGGTCCAGCCATCATCAATTCCCAGTTCTTTTGCAACTAACTTTGCTTCAGAGTCTAGAGAGGAATAATCTGCAAATGGAGTGCAAATATGTGCCAATCCAAGAAAATCTTGATCATTTTATATGAAAAAAGGTAAATGAATTGCAAATAGACAAAACGGTGGCTTTGTACGAGTTAAAGATGCCACAGAAGCTCGTATGTTTTGTGAAAATATGTGGAACCCATTAGATTACTCTCCAAAAGAGCCCTTGAGAAGAGAAGGTGGTTCCAATGTATATAGAGGAGAAATGGTCTACGTCTAGCCGATGTGGGACTCCAACACGCCCCTAGGGCGTTGAAAGAGGGCTAGACAGGTGAGGAGCCTAGACGTGTATAGATTGCCCCAGAAAGCCGAGTCCCTAGAATGGTAGATATCGACTATGATACCATGTGAGAAAACTTTGGGTTTGTGGATGGAATCCCCCGAGAAGGGTTAAAATGGAATTTTGAACAACAAAAGGCAAGTAATCAAGTCCGACAACGGGTTTTCCATATATGGAACCGCATTAGATTACTTTCCAAAATAGCCCTTGAGGAGAGGAGAGAGGTTCCAATATATATAGAGAGATGTTCATGGGAGAACTCTGTCTTTTATGAGAACTGTGAGATCCATTCACTGCCAAACATATTGAACTTATACATGGTAATTCACACTGTGATTTCTATTTCGAACATTAAACCCGAACATGGTAATTCATACTGTTAATACTCATTGATCCAAGGAATGAGTGTTTTATGTCTCAAACATTAAACCAGACATCGTAATTCATACTGTGGATGCTCATTAAAATAGTGGATATGGTTGGATCTCACAGTTCTCACAAATAACATGGTTCTCAAATGATTACCACCCTATATATAGGGTTGGGTTCCGGTGAGAAAAGAAGTTATGGTGATAAGTGTAGGAAGAGATCTCCACCCTTGAATCAATCATAATTGAATATCAACACCAATGAGGTGCACTCAGATGCACTGGATCAATTCTCTTCTAAAGCGCAATTCATGGGTGGGCATGAGATTTAAAGTGATCAAGGATTCAGATCTCTTCTTACGCTTCTCACCATAACTTCTTTTCTCACACAATCCTTTGCCTACATAATATATATATATATAGGGCCTATTCAAGGGAGAACTGAGTTGTTTGTGGTAACTGTGAGAACCAATATTAACCACAAATCAATAGATAAATTAGGAAATTTATAAATTTGGTAATTTTAAATTAAAATCTTAATGCAAGGATATTTTTGGTATTTTAAAACTCTCCTCTCTCCTCTCTTCTCTCTCCGGCCACCGTTCTCCGGCCTCCGGCCACCGTCCTCCGGTGATACCACTATGATACCACTGTGATACCTAAAAATATTGACTCTATTAAACAAAAGATACATTGTGATACCTAATCATATATAAGATGCATAGTGATACCACTGTGTTACATCTTCGATCGACCACACAAACGACATCAATGTGATACCCAAGCACATATATGATGCATTGTGATTCCATTATAGTATCACCGGAGGACGGTGGCCGGAGGACGGTGGCCGGAGAGAGAAGAGAGGAGGGAGGAAAGTTTTAAAATACCAAAAATATCCTTGCATTAATATTTTAATTCAAAATTGCCAAAATTATAAATTTCCTAATTTATCTATTGAGTTGTGGTTAATATTGGTTCTCACAGTTACCACAAACTAATTAGTTCTCATTTGATTAGGCCCCTATATATATATATATATATATATATATATATATGAGGAATGGTTAGTCTAGCTGATGTGGACTCCAACATGTTTGACTAAAAGTATGAATTAGAACAAGGGTAAACCATACTCATATTTCTATATATGTATTTAGTTACAATGGTTATGTGTTTCTTGTAGTCGCTTCTATTTGTATGTTATTGCTTTCTCTTAACCAAATTTTCAATTCTTTACCATTATTGACCCTCTCTTTGATACACTTCTCACGAGCATGGTCTTCATAGAAACCGCTGCTTTATTCATTGGGGTAGAGGTTAGGTCCATGTAGATTTTACCCTCCCCGACTCCACTTCCACTCGGGGTATGTATTTGACTCCATTTGGTTATTAGGGACTAGGACCTCTAACAGGTAAATTAGAGAGGGGGAACAATACGTGTGTTTTATGACTTCTATCTAATTACAATTATGGTTTATTTCCTCTTTTACTTTCCTAAGCCATTAATCACCAAGCTTATCTATTTACTTGTATATTCTTTGAGCAGTTAGCTTTGAAGGACCATTGTACTTGACACTTCATTTTCAAAAAAAATAATATCTTTTTAACGTTCTCTGATTGTAAAGTGGCTTCAGAAGGCAAAATGTTCAGGTTTTACACACAGGCCACCCCGGAAAGGCCAAGAAAAAACGTACCTTGGTGACAGAGGAGCAGCATATGAACACCACCAACTGCACGCAGGCGTTGTTCAACTTCTAGAGCATGCTCAAGACAAAATATGTGCATTCTAGAAGATTCTTCATCGCATACTGTGGTTATAGGCGTGTTCTCAATTTGACGTACAGCCTTTTCTGAAACGTGCACATCCGATAAACAATTCTGTTCAGCAATTAGAGACTTTCCCGTTAAGCAATTTGAGTCCTTCAAACTTCTGTTTCTTTCAAACTCAACAGAACAGTCAAAAGTTTGATCGTTTATATACTTCATATCACCTCTTGCATCCTGATCATGATGATCCCCATGAGAGCTGGCTGCTCCAAGAAGTGCGGTTTTATTATTAGGGGGAAGATCACTAGAACAATTAGTATGGATATCTCCTTCGACACGATCATCATCAGAATCCGAAGAATCACCATAGGCTAAAGCCAAAAGGCCAAGAGAGGAATTGACTTTCTGGTCTGCAGTAGCTGGAGTTATACCCGGATTATCATCTACAGTCTGTGCTTCGTCAGTAGATTTTATCGGTACGTCAAACAAACCATCACGAGTGCTCTTTGGCATTTGCCCTGCATTCATGTAAACAAAGAAAGTTAGCAACAAATGCAGAAATGCGCAAAGGCCGTCATACCAAATATTATGCCTCTATGGAACCTTATCCAACCAATCTAAAGGCCTGTTTGTTAGCAGCTTAATGAGCTTAACAGGACTCGCAGCTTATTCGGTCAGTTATACATGATTGTTTGGTAGTGGCTAAAGATATAGAAAGTGGCTTATTCAATAAGCTTCTAGGGGAGAGCGGGAGTTTTTTGCAGAAAGCCAAATTTTTTTCAAATCTGCCCCTCCCTATTAAAAACACGCTTCTTCCATCTATGAAAAAACTCTCCCAAACAAAAAGCTTCTCAATCCATACAGATAGATTAATCCACAAAGACAACTTTATCCATACAAGACTTAAGGGATAACCGTTTTTCCATCAAGCTTTGTATGGATTCAGTTGTCTGTATAGATTAATTATTTGTTTTTAATGCTGAATAAACCGTCTGAATAACACATAAATGACCATTTTGGTTTTTTGTACATTCCATATAGAACATATACCGTCTGGATAACTTATGATACATTTAGGGGTTGTTTGCCGGTTGCTGAATATTTTGGTGCAAAATGATTAAGTGGTCAAAATGATTAAGAGACTCTCATGATATAATGCAAAATGAAATATAATTGTTTTGTAATTGTTTACAATGAAATTAGGATGCTGAATGATTAAGGGAGACCCAAGATACAAAATCAGAGGGTTTTAGAACCATCAAAAGGCAGATCTTTTTTTTGTCAAACAAGATTCACCTTTTAACGATTCAAAGACTGCCTCTTAATGAAACTATTAAGAGGTAAACAAACAATCCCTTAATTGGAACGAGACAGAATTAAACAAGAAAAAGAAGAGTCCCACTTTGGTTGGATAATAATTGTTCTGCAAGGAGATGGGCATCCTTGCAAAATGAGTGGGAGGTTTGGGATTCGACTCTAGAGACCACCTACCTGCCCTTGGGACACGCAATTATCTTCCTATGATGGCCGTGGGACCGGTACAGTGGGGGCGATAGGGTGGTGTCACACCCTTTTTACAGTATGGTTTGATAATAATTCATACTTGGGTAAATATAATCCAATTGTTTTCTACATGGAACCCCAAATGATTCTTTCTATAGTATCAGAAACATGTTATTCACATATGCAGGCCCAAAGGTGCACTTGCACAATCTTGATTCTAACCAAACAGCTCTATAATCTTCATAATATATTATAATCCCTCTGTTCTTAAAAGAGTCCACATTTGACCTGTTCTTTTAACTTCAAAAAATTGTCATGAATATAGTTTGTCAAAAAGACTATATATGTTAAACTATAAAAGCAGCAGTATAAAAAGGAATTGTGTTGTAAAAAGAGATGCATAAGGCCCGGGCTTTTTTAGTCCCAGGTCAGACCGGCCTTTGGGTTGAAAAAAAGGGCCCGATCGGGTTTAACCGAGCTTTTTCCAGACCCCTTTATTTCGGCCTGATCGGGCTTCAGGTTCACTAGGCCCGGGCTCTTTCAGGCCAGATTTTGGGCCTGGGCTTTTTTGTGCATCTCTAGACTTATAGGCATGAATTTATAGCATAAAAAGTGGACTCTTTTCCCTTTGTGCCAAAGTGTTGTCTTTTGATGGTTGTTAAGAAGATAAAGACTGACCATCTTTTAGGATGCAAATGACGGTTGTTGTGCATAGTTCGACTGGTTGAATTCGTAGTCTATGACTAGTTGCAAAATCATACACAAAACTAACAACGATGGAAAGCAAAATGGTGTACCTGAAGAGGATTTGGGATCCACCAAACTTGCATCTTCATTAGTGAATAAATCTGTGGCAGCAACCAGATCACTAATGCCTCTGCAATCAGCTGACATGAGATAATTTGCAGTTGCTTCTGTTGGTCGAATAATTGCAACGCTTGCATAGCACAAAATCCCGCAAGTAACACATGAAAATATACCAGTATCATGCGTTTTATCACATTCACCACCCTTATATCTTCCGGTGGCCGTATTCTGTGTCTGAGAAGCTAAACTACTTGATGAAGCGTCTTTCCCACCATTCAGTGAGAGTTCGTTATTCCTACCACAAAACGAAGAAAATTTTCTCATCGGCTTTCTGTCTAGATTAACATCATCATCAGAATCTGAACTATGTGTGGACTTCAATTCATCAACTTCTTGAGTGTGTAAACCGAACGAAAGCCTTGAAGTTCCATTAGATTGAAAGGCAATCCGTCTGTCTATAAAATTTTCAGGAAGAACTACGATAGGAGATCCTTTTGCAAGAATATGAAGAAGGTGATTGTTTTGCATCATATCTTGAAAAAACAGTCTTTTTACTAAGGCTTCTCCCTCAACTTTCAACTTATCTTTTAATCGGGAACTCCGAGGTTCAGGCTTGATGCTTGTTGGTACACTGTAGAACGGGAAGCGAAACAGGCTTCGTTAGCTTTTATCTTAAAATATTCATGTTTAACCTTAAAATAGAACAGCAAAGGACCAAGTATAGAGGCACAACTTCCGAACCAAATGAGCCCATTATATCCTACATGGAGGTAGGGTCTAGGGAGGGTAAGATGTAGAGCGGTTGTTTCCGTGAAAAGCCCCGACTTATGAAAAGTGTGCGAGAGTGAGAAAAGCAGGTATGCTTAAATGTAGAAAAGATGGACCTTGATTCACAAATAACGGGATTAGAGAATAGACCTTGAAGAGAATGATACTGCCAGATCATAAAGCAACTGAGAATGAGATACCATGGGAGCACAATTAATCGAAGCTCTACGAATTGCAGCATCTCGTGCAACTCTCAGCCAGCCAGGTGTTGCAATATTAGCTGCTTCCCCACAGTTGAATCCTAGATGACAAAAATAAAAAAATGATATATCTTTTACTGTTATCAACTTATCATAATAACAAATTTCACAATAGTAAGTTATTCATGCCCAACAATAAGATACCAACAAGAAAAAGAAGCGTGAAGGGTAAATAGAAGTAATAATATTTTACCATGACTGAACCCCGAGTGATAAGCTCTAGGGAAAGTGACAACAAATTCTCCAGCATTTTGCACCAATCTGATTACAAGAAAAGTTTATTAGCTTTCAGATGAACAGAAAATGGAATCTTGACAACCTATTCGAAGTCTTACCTGCAGCAAGGAACCCCGGCCTTAAGTAATACTTCGGGGGATATAATTGTGGTCTTCTCACCAAGAGTGGCAAAAGTCACTGAAAACACACAGTAGAAGTTGTTTAAGTTGCCTCTAAAATGGGTTAAAACTAGAAAAGCCACAGCCAAAACCGTTGTTACTTTAAAGAAAGTATCAAGTAGATGCAATTCTTGATCACCAAATAAGGTTTGTTAACATAATAAAGATTGGATATGCATTGTGAGTTTATGCCCTTTAATATAAATTTGAGGATGCTAGCAAGCAAAGATCAGACGGTAGTGACCTTCATCTATCATGTGGATTCCTTTTATCAGAAAAGCAACACTTGTGAAGAACAACAAATCTCTATGCACCACTTTCCTTCTTAGCTGAATTCATTTTTACATCCACTAATTGCAAGATCAAGAAACAATCGTTTTTGCTCCAAAAAGATTGTCTTGACTACAAGATAGAGAAAGCATGTAGGATAGAACTCTTTGATAGAAAGAATAAACCAAGCCTACATCATAGTGTCCACTAAAGATTCGGTACAAATCTAGACTTTGAGCATGAATTGGAACAATAACTGTACATGGTTCTTCCCTCCATGGATTGTATGCATGATTAAGAACCAAAAGATCCTTAGAACATTATAAACCAAAACAAAAAAGAACACTTCATATATACCATCTTCATGATACAGTTGCTAATTTCATGTTCATTTTTCCCATAGCGGCATCTTATATAAGCAGAAGTTAACCAAAACATGTACATAAAGCATTCAGTAACATATGTGCAATGGAAACAGAGCATGAAGTTAACCAAGAAACAGGGGAAATCCATAAGACATCCACCTATGATCTATCTGAATATGAATAGAACGAAAAACCTCAAAACTCACCAATAGGATTAATCTCTCCTCCATAGCCATGATCTCTGATCACATCCTCAAATGCAACAGCAGCATCTCTGGGTACTCCATACCAAGTCTTCCCTGCACCCATATGCATATAATTCAAGCTATGGAAGTCATGATCTTCAACATGCCAAGCAAACCAGCTAAACAGCATAGAGATGTAAACCATGGGTGAAGTAACACCAGGTATTTCTTCCTTCATAAACTTCAATAAAGACCCTTTTGCCCTTGAAACCCCTCTCATATTCCACTCAGTCTCCCCCACCGTCAAGGCGTCCCCGATATCCTTTTTCCCCTGTTTCTTTCCAGCAGACCCACCAACTGTTTGATCAAATGCCGAGCCCGGCATGTCATTTGCATACTCAACCGAAAATGGTTTATCCACATGAGCCTTCCAGTAAAGAGTCTCCACTTCCAACGGCGTTAAACCCTTCTTGGAATTTGATCCTTTCTTCAAGTAACTCTTCTCAAAAGCCTTGGCTTTGACTTCAAATTGGGGAACCGTGTATATCTCGCCGCTCTCCCAAACGGGTTTCTGAACCGGTCGGTGGTGCTTACGTGGGCAAAAACCGATCTGTTGCTGTCTGGTGGTAAATGTAGGTGATGAATCAGGGTTTCGTGCGGACAGAGACTTGTTGAGGTTAGCAATTGCAGTTTTCTTCGGCGAAGCAGAGACAGGTGGGACGATTTTACAGATTCCATACTTGGAAGCTTCTTCCTCGATCTTGAAAATAAATGAAATTGGATCTTGAAACTCGGCTAGGGTTGGATGGTACTCAGGTGCTAAAGGTAAAGACTTCAACCATGGAAAAACCTCTTCCGCCATTAGAGAGAAATCACCCAGACATACAAATAAAGTTAGTGAGATAGATCTGAGATGAGAACCTCTGATGAGAAGAGGTTCATGGCGAAAGAGAGAGAAAGATTGAAGGGCAGATTCTTGAATTTAGTTTGTATATATCGAAATGAATATATATTGCTGTCTCCTCTGTTTCTTTTATCTTCAATTTATATTGAATTTCCCCTGTTTTTGGCTTTTGAGGGTCGCAAGTTTTTCACAGACGAAATCGTGAAAATCTAGCGGCTCACACACCCAACTCCCAACGGGGTTTTCTTCTGGCTTTCCTTTTTCTTTTTTTAATATAAATTTATTAATTTCAGGGTTTTTGGAGAACTGCCAGAAAAGAAAAAACCCAGTCTTGACTCGAACTGCAAGAGAAATCTTATGGTCTAAGGACCGTTTACTAATTATTTACTCCGTAAGTGTTTATGGGTAAAATTTAACACTATTATTTACTTATCGGGTAAGATTTTAATCCAGTAAAACGACATCATATGCAACAATTTATCCGGTAAGCGCTTACCGTGATAAGGGTCGTTGTTCTCATTTATCGAGTAAAGACTTTTGATCATTGTCTCGCTCTTACCGGGTAAGATTCTTGGTCCTTACCATATTCATCCGGTGAGGTAATGTTACTTGGTAAGTCTTACCCGGATAAGCGTTTGGTAAACGGCCCCTAAGATTTGTTATCACTTGAATTAGTGTTAATTGGGCAACATCTTGGGGGCTGTTTGAAAGTTGTTGAATGGTTTGATGTAAAATAATTAATAGGCTTCATGATATAGTGCAAAATGAAATATAATTATTCGATAATTGTTTATAATAGAATTACGGTGCTTAAAGGTTAAGGAAGACCCGATATATGAAATCATTCATAGGGTTTTAGAAACATTAAGAGACAATTTTTTTTTGTCAAACAAGATTCACCAATTAACGATTCAAATATTGTCTTTTAATGAAACTATTAAGAGGTAAACAAACAATCCATTAGTTCTTCGTTGTGTAAGAAAATATATATTTTGTTGAATATTTGTAAAGAAAATAGTGAATTATGAATTTGGTCCATGTATTTTGATGTTTTCTTATTACTGGTATGTTTATTATGGTTTTAGTCCTTGCATTATTCAATTTGTTTTATCATGGTTCCTCTAACTAATACCGTTAATATATATATATATATATATATATACTATCTTATAAAGCAAATTYAACAAAAGTCTTAAAGTCTTAAAATACTAAATGACCAAGATACCCTTTATATTACTTTTTCACTTTTTCACTCTTTCCTCTCCTCACATACACTTACCCTCTCACAACCCATTTTTTAAAAATTATAATTTTAAATTTACATTTTATACCTCTATAATTAGTTAATTAATTTATTTTACGTCTTTTACTTTTAAATGTTTCATTTTAAACATTTATCAAATTAATATACATAATCGTATATCAATTAAAATATGTTTAAAAAATACATTTTTATTTTAACAAGTTACACCATTATAATCGTCTCGTTAATACCTTCGAAATTAGTCCAATATTGAATAGTTTTTGACGTAATTATATTATTATATATTATATATATTGTGAAAAATATTTTTAATATTTACGATTTATACTTTTATAGTTATTTATTTATATATATATACTATATATTTTGGGGTTAACCTGTCCAAATTGCACTATATAATATGTTCTTTGGTTTTTTTTAAAAAATATATATATATATATATATATATACATGTATTAATTCAATCTTAATCTGAGTTTCTGGACAAGAAAGAGGGTAAGCAGTTGAAATTTCATTCTAAAACCCCATATTTTTTGGTCTTTTCATGGCTTATGATCTGTCAAATTTGTAGTTTTCTTTATTGGTTTTGAGTGTTTATCCTAAAACTCAAGTTTCTTGGTTATTTGCTCTTGGTGTAAATCGAACACATTTGTGGAGTCGTTTAAATATGTTGGATTTTAAATATATTGGATTTTAAACTGTCATATAATTTTTTTCATCGATAGTCTGTAATTGGAACCATAACTCTTATTTATTCAAATTGTATTAATATGTAAAACCAAGTGTAACATATATCATCGTTAAATCTTATCTTATAAAACCAGTGAAATTTCAAAATCGTTAAAATTCATGGCTCCCGCCGCATTGCACGGGTACACAACTAGTATATATATATTCACTCAGTTAGATCAAGGACTATTTTGTCTTTTTTATATTAAAAAAATTAAAACAATATATATATATATATATATATATCAATAAAGATATCAAAATAAATAAAATAAGTTATTATTTTATGATTTAATTTGTTTAAGATTAAAAAATTAATTATATTAAATTTCATGTCAAAATAGACAAAAGACTAAAACGATAAAATTTAAATCATCGTTTTTAATTTAAACAATTCGAATTATAAAATAGTATCTTATATTATTTATTTTGAATATCTCTGTTGATATATATACACACACATTTACATATGTGTATATCTAAAAAATATTGTTTTTTTACCTTTTTAATAAAAAAAAGGACCAAAAATAAAAGGTAAAAAAGTCTATAATTGGTCCTGAGTTAAATGATTTATTTTAACGGTGTTAGTCACAAGGACTATTGTCATGACAAATTGAATTTCACAGGACTAAAACCATAACATACCATAGAGATCTTAGGGGCTGTTTACCAAATTTTTTATTAAGTCATGTATGGATAAATTTGTCTGTCTGGATAAATAGGTGTTGTTGTTTACTTTTTTATCTGAACCAACAATCTGAGTAACATAATGACTGATTTACCCCCCCCCCTCCCTAATATTAATTATTTGAACATCAAAACAAAAAATTATAAAGAGACCGACGATGGGGTGTCTCACATAGAAAGGAGGCGGTGCTTTAAATAAGGGGTATGAGTGTCATTTTTGTGGCTGAATGGGGACAACACACCATTTCTATCTATGTGATTAAGCCATGTTCTGTGCGAATAAGCCGTAAGTAAACAACCCAAATGACATGTGTGAATAAGTCAGATAGAACAATAATCCTAATTAAGCCGCAAGTAAACAACCCCTTAATGGTCTAGAGTCAGTTTATGATCTGGAGTCATCGTAAATAAACCTTAATGATCAAAATTCAAATTCAAGAAATATGAGATTTTCACTATATCAGTCTAAATCTTATTGTCACAACACAATTAATTAACATATTTTCTATATGGATTTTTAAAATTATAAAAGAAAAGAAAAAATTCGTTAAATTTAAAGGATTTTTTTTTATAATTTAATAAAATGTTTTTT